TGTTTTAAGTGTCTGCCAATACCGATTTTTTAATTTTCTTTTTTTTTTTTTTTTGCACCCAAGTCATAGTCAGTCATTTGGTTTTAAGTATCTGCCAACACAGATTTTTTTTTTAATTAATTTATTTTATTTTATTTTATTTTTTTTTTGCACCCAAGTCATAGTCTGAGTCATTTGGTTTTGGTTTTAAGTATCTGCCAATACCATTTTTTTAATTAGCTATTTATTTATTTGTTATTAATTAATTTATTTATTTATGTTTGTGTATGGATTTATTTATTTATTTATTTTTGCGCCCGAGTCATAGTCCGAGTCATTTGGTTTTAAGTATCGGCCAAAGCCGATTTTTTTTGTTTTTGTTTTTTTTTTGAGTAAGTAAATGTATCCCAGCATGCTAACTTTTTATGTGGTTGTTAGTCAGCAAATCAAGAAAACAAATACAGTATTTTATTCTTGACTTTAGAAATTTAGAAAATTCAAAAAAAATCACTTTTACTTGCAGTATATTTCCAAGTCACCTTTTGCTCCATCAGAATATTAAATTCATTCGCACTCCTTTCTTGGTACCTCGAACAGTGACGAACCCCACAAGCCATCCGGGGTGCCCCTCATGCTAGGCCTCGACATAATTTGCCAATTCTTCCGCTTCTTCGCTTCAGCTATTAATTTTTGAAGCCCCTTACATAAGCTATTACGCAATGTGTTTTTCGGACCGTTTTCCTCCGCGTTAATGGCTCCGGGGGCCGCTCGGCGGCGGCCACCCGCCCCGTCTCCAACCCAAACAGGCACCCAGCGGTCATCCGGTTTAGAAGGACCACCGCCACGGTGCTTCATGTGTCCCTAAACGTTTACCGGACATGCAGGACACGTGCAGATGGCGTCGGGCAGAAAGTTGTTTGTCAGTTACTCCGCAGCTTGAGTCCAACTGATTCTCACTGTTGCCAGCTTTGCGATTGTTTGAAATCTGCCTTGTGTTCACACAGTGTCCCAAATGTCATCATACACTTTCTTTTCTTACTTTTTTTTCTCCCCCATTAAATCATTCGGACAGATGTGAGGCGATCAGAATTTCCTAGCTCACGTTTTGCCATTTTTTGCACCCCCCAAAAATAAATAAATATAGAAATTAAAAAGTGTCCCTTTTTTTTTTTAGGTGTCAGATAGAAGACGTATTCTTAGATAACGACTTCACAGAGCCTCGCCCATGAAATCTTAGCTCAAGAAAGTCGACCAATTTCAACCCAAAAATAGCCGTCGGCTAAGTTTCCCTGCATGTGACTGACTTGTCATGTGAGCTGTTAGTATTTGTTGGCAGCTCTCCTTCTCCTTCAGTGGTTAGATGGACAGAATATGAACGTGATGGAGATAATAGTCAGACGAAGACATTTTCTGAATACGAGTCACCTTCGGCATGTGTTGTATTGGGATAAAAAGTCACATATACATTATATTACATAGAATCGTATTTTCCGCACTATAAGGAGCTTCGGAGTATAAGGCGCACCTTCAATGAATGGCCGATTTTAAAATATCCATAGATAAAATGCATCGGATTGTATAGCGCACTGTCAGCTTTTGAGGAAATGGAATGCTTTTTATGTGCGCCTTATACTGCGGAAAATACGGTAATTAAAATGAACGGAATTAGAAAAAGAAAAGTCACAGCAAAATAAAAACTACAATGAAAGCTTCAGGTGTTTAGTTCCAAAATTAAGGCTCAGAGCATACATCTTGCCGATTAACCTCAGATGGCTTCCGATGCCTTGTTAAATTGACTTGTTTGATTATAGAAAAGAAAAGAAAATAATTTTCAGGCTCTTTATCTCAGGCCAAAATAATTATTAGTCCTAAAATATTGGACAAAAGAAAAAATCCATGGCATTGTCTCAAAGTAGTTACAGGACACTAAGCTCATTGTCAGTATTTGCACATTTGGGGCTCATGCATTGTTGTATTTACTAGCATGAAATTACATCACACCGAAAATTCCTCTGTTGGCATTTTTTTCACCGAATTTCTGAGGAAATATGTTTTTGCTGTCACTGAAATCAATCTTGCAGGTTTCCCGGCACGTCGCCACTCCTCGATATGAGAGTGTCCCTTGTCAAGCGCACAAACGGGCATTTGTCAGATGCGGCGTCATGCGCGAGTTGTTTGCACAAATTGCGTTGCCGCTCTGGAGGGCGAGATGCTACCATGCAAGCGGGTGCTTTGGTCACCAGCCAGGACCTTGTACTTTTCCGCTGAGCAATTTGAAGAGGGCCTCTTAGCGTCTGTGTCTTATGAAGAATGTTTTTTTTTTTGTTTTTTTTTTGTTTTTTGTTTTTGTTCCTTCCTCCTCCAGCTCTTGTCTGAATAGTCCAGAGGGGGTCGGGGAGCAGGAGAAGTCCCCCATGCAAGAATGCTATTGTTTCCCAAGCTTTCAGATGACACGCTTCTGAACGAGTGAGGATGTGACCGGTGGGGCTCTCAACTCCCGCCTCATTCAACTCAAATGTAGCTTCACAGGAGGAGATCACGGGGTCATTGACGAGGAGAAATAAAAGTCTCAAAAGCTGCGTTGATTTCAACAACATCCATCGGTTCAAATTCTCTCCCCTAGAATTTGAACTTCCTAACCTGAGCAACTGACCTCTGGGTCAAGGCTGAAAGAGGGAAGTTGCGAGTGTGTACAAGGGAGGGGTGGTTTTTTTTTTTTTTTTTTTTTTTAGGCCTTGTCACCTGTCACTTTAAGCACTTGCGTGTTAACTTCACGATTGAGTTAAAGCAAGTTTGTCAGTCGAACAATAAAAGCCACGCAGACTTGAGCATTTTTAAAGTAATGAAAGTGCTTTAGTAGTACCTTCAATGTCCACACGAGAGCGCCATACCACCACCTATTCAACCCTTCAAATTAATGATAGCAGGCCTTTATTTTGAGAACCATTCCTCGATACCTGATAACCTTGGTCCACTCAGCAGCAAAATTATTTTATGCTAAATATTTATTATTTCACATAAAATATGTATAGATTTTACTTTTTTTTTTTCCACAACCAAAGCAATCATTTTCAACTACAGCCGCCACCACGTGGACCTAAATCTGTCCAAGATAAGTTCATGTGTGCGTTGTCAGATACTTTACATATTTATAGGTTAAGGTTTTTTTTTTTTTTTTTTTTTTCAAATTTGCATTGGTGATTGTGCCAAAGAAGTGAGGCCAAGCAATACTCGAATAAGACAAACATCAGGTTACGTTATAATGTAACACATTCATCCACACAATATGTACGTTCAAAAGAAGTAAATTGTCACCAACGCTGTGGTACTTTGTATCACAATGGGCAAAAAATAAATAAAAAAAAAAGCACCACGCACCAACAAGGAGCACTGTGCATTATTTATACCCACAAGGCAACATCTTACACACGCTCGCTCAGAGCAGGTGGAAGAAAGCTTTTCGAATGGGGAGGGATTGCTGCGGGGGTCAAAACGTCAACGACGGAAGTGAAAGCAGTGGCGTTTGATGTCCGCGCACACACACACACACGCACACACACGCGCCACAAGATGCCTCATAGCCACAGCGGCTCCGTGCACTAAAGCCAGCAATAATTTGAAACACGTGGAACGTTACATCATCTGCGGTCATTCTTGAGACGCGCTTTGCGTTGTGTATACACAGTGGGACAAAAAGTGTGTACAGCCTCCTTCCTTTATACCTGCAGCCTTCATTCCATCAATTACACCTGCTTAGCTTTCATTCTCTCTTCTTTCACACCTCTTTTAATTCCGGCATCTTTACATTCCCCTTCGGACTGCCATCATTAATTACATTCTTCCTTTCATCTCAGACCTGTTTTTTTTTCTCTTTCGCCCGAAATGATTTGCCCTCGTTCGTGTGCGTACCGTACCCAACTTTCGGCCGCCCCGTATGCATAAATGCTGTATGGTTTTGCGAGAATGCGTTGCGAGCTACAACCGCCGCATGTCTTCGACCAGAATGAGCTGCGCATTTTTACCTTTTGAAGTCAGTCGATTGCTATAATAACCGTCTTACGTCTCCACCGGCGCTACAGATCGAGCGCGTTTCTGCAGGGTCGAAAATGTCATCGTTTGTTTATTTACACTTTGAGAGAAATTATATAAATAAAGCAGATTCAACGATGCGCTAAGAGGCTTTTTTTTTTGGTGGGGGGTGGGCAGGGAATGAAGGAGAGTCACGGAGAGCTGCTTCGAGGAGAACTTGAGCAAGCAATTTCCAAATACGTCTCAGCGTTCTGCAACTGTCACTTTCAAAGCTGCCGGGGATGGGGGGGAGAAGATGTGGCATGATTTGTATTTGGAGTACTTCTAAAATCACGCATATGTATGCAACTGTCCATTACCGTATTTTCCGCACTAAAAGGCGCACCTAAAAGTCTTCCATTTTCTTAAAAGCTCACAGTGGCGGCGTTAAAATCCAATGCGCCTTGTGTACGGTCATTACGGTAATATGTCAACCCCAAAATGGCTCCTTGCTAGAGATGCAGAGTTCAAACTGAAGGCGATCGGTTTCGCAGTTGAACACGGAAATAGAGCGGCGGCAAGGGAGTTCAACGTGAACGAGCTGATGTTATAACTTGCTGTTGGTTAAGTGAACTGGGTCGCTGCTTTATTAAATAAGTTTGACTGACATCTGATCGGCGCTATATAAATCAGGGTGTCATGTCGTGTAATGTTCTGTTGGCATTTCCTTGAGCGTAGCTCCATCTAGTGGATGCATTGTAGATTGCGTCTTATAATGCGGTGCGTCCAATATAGAAAAAAAATGACAAAATTGGCCATTCATTGAAGGTGCGCCTCATAATCCAGTGCGCCTTTTAGTGTGGAAAATACGGTAGCGCGTGATTATCCGCGTGTGAACAGCGGCAAGTGAACCTAAAAAAAAAAATAGACTTGAGTGGGTAAGAGTTAGCCACCTAGAGTATATATAGTAAATGTGTCATTTTCATCTCAGTTGCTGCAGGTGCTTGGCTTCAGCAGATAATCAGTGACCATGTTTATACCTCACCTGCCAAAATTCTACAATTCCACCACGTGTGATCAAAGTCACTCAGACACAAACTGTATTTTTAGAATCGACGAAAGCACACGGCTACCTCCCTGCATTTCAAACAGCTCATCATTGCCGTCCATTCGCTCCTTAAGTATCAGCGATCTGGGAAGAAAGGTTCTGTCGGGGAAAGATGGACAACTCTTGGCATGGTCCCCAACGGCCTTCCCCTTTGATGGCCGGCGCCATGGAAACATATAGCGATTTGTCTGTCAACGGTGTCCTGGGTGGAAAGCTCCTAATTACCAGCGCATTGTGATTAGACTGAAGTCAGTAATAAAGCATCGGCCTCATTCTCACATCCCGTTCAGCTCGTGAAAACGGACTCGCTTTTCTGCAAGGACAATTTTGATTGATTTTTTTTTTCTCCTCTTTTCGGTGTCTGTTTGTGTGTGTGGAGGTCTCAATAGACACAGTCGGGGGCAGGGAAGGAGGGGGGGGGTATGGACTAAGGAGGAGAAAAGCAGACAGTTAGCCAGGCTTCTAACTGTGATGAATTGTACAAATGCAAATGCAGTTGATGAAAGCTGCCATCTGCTATTTGACACAAACAAAGGATATCCAGCTCCCGAATCGACCTGAAATGTTTTCACAAAACTCACGTGACAATATAAACACTTTATTGTTCTTAAAAAAAAAAAAAAAAATACAAAAAAATAACGTTCCCTTACACTTGGCCCTATAGACATTGGTTGTGTAACCTACAGAGTAAATAACGAGGCTTCGGCGGCGCAGCGGGAGGAAACGGGGGAGGAGGTGGGGTGGGGCGAGGCATCTTCAAGGGCCGACATGTTTAATTGTGATGATGGTATCTTAAATGGGGCAAATCCTCCCTGAAAAGACATCATCAAGTGTGTCACGCGGTTTCCTAGCACGCAGCTCGGGGGGAAATTGCGAGGCGGGGCCGCTAATCACTCGGCTTCATCGATGCAGGGTTGCTTCGCTTTGACTTGTTGGAACGATGGCATCAGTCACTGTCGCCGGGTGGAGGGTTTCGGATCCATACACTTACGTTGGAATAGTTAGTTGGATTTTTCCGAGGGCGTGTTGCAGCTACGTACACACACATTTACATTTACATCCAGCCATCCTTCCATCCGTCCATTTTTTTGTTCGATTTCTTTGACCCTTATTATCAGTCGAGCTGATCGTAACTTCACCCCCCCCTCCCCCATCTCCCCGAATACTTGGTCAGAGTAAAACTTGTGGCAGCCAAGTTGAACTTTTCCAAAACATTCATAGCATTTTTGTTTTGCATTGGTTTGTGGTCAAAGCAAACACGGTGAAGCAGCATTTCGCCATTGTGCTGCAATGGAAATGAAATACTAATCCCATTCCTTTGATTAAGACATTTTCAACACTTCACAGTACTCAATACTGTCTCTTAGTACATTTAGTACTACTTTTCTCTCTCGACGGCTGCCGTGTTCTAAATTTGTGATTCTTGAAGTTTGGTATCCCGCTAGTTTCGAAAAGAATGCCTCCGTACAATTAACTTTTAAGTTACATTTGCTTTTAAATCTTTATCTCATTCACTCCCAAAGACGTTTTTAAACGTCTTTTCAGACTTGGTCCAGAATTGGCTGGTACTGAATGAGTTATGGACGATTTGTTTTTAAACATTAAGGCACAAATTGATTGAACTTTTGTGTGAAGCACATTTTGATCGAACAATAAAATCCCCCGATTTAAAGCAAAGGGTTGAAGTGTAACCTGTGTGTCACGATGAGCTGGATTTCTTTCAATTATATTCAATGTAGAATTTTATTTGAACCCTTTCATACACCCTGAAACCTGATAACACGATAAGCCGTCTACTGTCGTAATTTTTCAAGAATAAAACCTTGACACACTACTATCCTATACGCAATACTTGGTGTAAAAAGTTAAAGAACCGCTCTCAAAAACAACTCGAGGATGTCCTTGTGTCATTCCGAAGTCTGGCAGCGTTGTGCAGCTGCAGCACCCCCCCCCCGCCCCCCACTCCTCTCGCGCGCGTGCAATGTTGTGCTGCGGTGGCTTCCGTCTTCCCGGCGCCCTCTGTCCCCTCCCACTGGCGTCACACAACTCGACCTGCAGGTGAACAGTTCATTCGCAGCGTCCCTCTCCTCCCCATCGCTCCTCAAGAAGGCGCGCACACACACGCCAGCCAGCCAGCCAGCCGGGCGGGCGGCTGTCTGCTTTTGAGGGGGTCGTACAATGGTGCGCCGCGCAGCCCAAGCGAGCCGAGTTGCGCTTTGAGACCCGACCCGCCAAGGAGGATTGCGCGCGGTCCGAGCTAGGGGACGAGCGTGGATGCAGAAGCTAACGTGGACAAGAGGTGACGACTGTTTGAACAGGCGGCAGCTGCTTGGGCGTCAAGGTGAGCGGGCAGCGTGTTTGCTCTTTGCTCTTTATAACCACTCAAAGCCCGATAATGCAATTTGGATGTTGAGTCGGAGAGTATTCATTTTCATTATCTGGTAGTTGCCTTTCAAACGTGTTTTGTAAAGCATTTTCAAAACAATTCGAGCACCAGTTTTAAATTGAGACCCCTCATATTTCCTAGCCATCAAAATCTATGAAAACGATGCCTTGACAAAGATAGCGACATCATTCTATTTGAATTTTTACTTTTCACCTCTCATGTGGGTGTAGCTGCGAATCCGAACAAGTGCAAGTCATTCCAAATGTGTTGTACAACGCGTGTTAACTTTAAGTATTCCAAATGCACACGTTAATTCCCTCCCCCTCGTGAGCTGCGAATCCGAACAAGTACAAGTCATTCCAAATGTGTTGTACAACGCGTTAACTTTAAATATTCCAAATGCACACGTTAATTCCCTCCCCCTCGTAATCCGTTTGATAATACTGCACGGAATGAAATAAACACAATTCACTTTCATTTCCAAAGTGTACCTGAATGCGGCCCCGCCGCGTCGCGTGACTGCCAGTGTAAACATGAGTGACGGCTGCGATAAACAGCCAAGACAGTATTGGCTATAATAGGCAAGGGAAGGCAGGCTTTTATTTACAAGAGCACATTTCATACACAAGGCAACTCAATGTGCTTCACACAAGCGAAGGCAGGAGAATTTACAAACAAAACAGCAAAAGACATTCAAAAACAAAGCCGAGAAAGCAAAAGTAGCTTAACAATTACGAATACAACAGAGATTGGCGACATTTAACACAGTTTAGCAAAATACTTAAAACACACACAAAATTACGAACAGAACAGAGATTGGCGACATTTAACACAGTTTAGCAAAATACTTAAAACACATTTAAAAGTAAAGTAAAGAGAAGATTTGCTTTCTAAAATCACTCAAAGACCGCCGCACAGTGGAACTGGAATAAAAATACTTCCAGTCAAAATCTGAGCAGCAGTGTTTTCAATGAGCTGCGGCTGTTTGATGCTCCTTTGAGAGAGTCCAGTCAGAAGATGTCGAGAACAGGGGGTGTCGAACTCATTTTTGTCGCGGGCCACATTATAATTGCCGTTTCCCTCGGGGGGCCGTTTACGTTACTGTCACGAAGGGTTTGGTTCCAAGAAAATGCTTACAATATCCTTCTTATTTATTGCAGATGAGATTTTAGCTTGCATCCTGGAAGTTGACATGTTTGATTTGCTTTTGCGGGCCACATAAAATGAGGTCGCGGGCCACATCTGGCCCCCGGGCCTTGAGTTGGACACCGGTGGTCTAGAAGTCGATAAGAAATAAAAGCAATGTTTCCAGGTCTTCTTGGAGCATGCAAGCCTTCAAGTGACACCTGTGGTCTAGAAGTCGATAAGAAATAAAAGCAGTGTTTCCAGGTCTTCTTGGAGCATGCAAGCCTTCAATGTGGATTTGTTTTTCAGCTGGTAAAAGGCAATTTTAGTGATTGATTTGACTTATCGGCACTACAATATTTCAGATTGGGTTTTTGCGTTCGAAAGACAGCAATCCTCTTTTTTTAATTGCCCAAAACAATAACCTCAGGTTTTTTTAACTAGTCAGAAATGCTTCTTTGGGATCAAACTGTACAACCCCAATATTAAATATATATTTCGAAAATACCATTTGTGCACGTTGCCACGTGATCACTGAACGAATTTTGGAAGGGAAAAAAAAAACTGATCACATGATGAATACAGCTCAAAGTCGTCTCAAAATAATGACCTCCAAATTTGTGTGATTCTTCCACAGCTCTCCTTCCAGCATCGCTTGCTCCAAAAGCTGACATGTGTAAGCCAAGCCAGACGGCAAGCTGAGACTCAGCCCCGAGGCTAAAAAGCAGGATGCGTCCCATCGCGTCGCATCTCTCGAGCCAGAGTAGCGTTAACCCCGCGGCCGCAGCCCTGCTCCTCTCCCTATGTCTCGGCTCCCTTCCCCGAGCCCTCACGTGCCCGCCCGGCTGCATTTGCGCCAGCGATATCATTTCTTGCGGTGGCTGCAATCTGTCTGCGCCGCCCCCCGACCTCCCGGGCTACGCCACGCGCTTAGACCTGAGCCACAATTCCCTGACTGCGCTGCCCGCCGATTGGATAACGCGGCCGTTCGAGCGGCTCGCCGCTCTGCTCCTCGGCCGCAATCGCATCGTCCAAATTGAGGCCAAAGCTTTCGCGGCGGTGCCTCGTCTCCTCCACTTGGACCTCTCATCCAACAAACTATCAGCGCTCAATTCTTCGATCTTTACCGGCCTCACGGAGCTAAGAGAGCTGCTGCTGTTTGGGAACCAGATTGGCCAAATCAGTCCTGACTCCTTCCGTGGTCTCCGCAGCCTAGTGAAACTTTACCTGTCTGGGAACAGGCTGACATCGCTCCCTCCAAGTCTTTGGGACGAAGGAGGGCCTCTCAACCTGACCTTTCTTGACGTGTCATCCAATGGGATCGCCAGTGTGCATGTTCACACGCTGCTTTCGCTGAGCCGACGCGCTGGAATTTATTTGCAGGGAAACCCTCTCACATGTGACTGCGCTTTACTGGCTCTGCTCGAGTACTGGACTTGGAAGCAGTACCGCCCCCTGTTGGACTTTAAAGATGACTACCCGTGTCGGGACAGCGTTGGTCCAAAGCTGAATTGCAGCCTGGACGGGGAGTGGTCCGCCGAGGCCGGAAGCTACCAAGTGGATCCGGGTAAATGGTTGTGGTTGACGTGTCCCGGTTTTGCCTCGCCGCTAAAGGATCCAGATGTGTTCTGGGTGACCCCCGCGACAGTCCTGAATCTATCGGCATACGATCCAAGCGCTCACCAAGCGGTCCTCCCGAATGGCACCCTGGAGATAAGAGGAGCGTTGTTGGAGGATTCAGGGGCGTACGCGTGCGTGGCGCCCCGCGGGCGCCGGTACGACCCCGACGCGTCACCCGAGGTCAACGTGGTCGTGGGAAACGTGAGCTCCGTCGCCACCGGTGGCTTGGCCCATCGTGGCGGAGGCGAGCATTTCAACACGGCTTTCACCACCCTGGCTTCCTGCGTGGTCAGCATCATACTGGTGCTCCTCTACCTCTACTTGACGCCGTGCCGGTGCCGGGAAAACACGGGCGGCGTCTCGGGAGGGTGCGGGGGACGAGCGATCGTCCTCTGTTCGGACCCCAGGGAAGTCGAGTCGGGCCAGCGGCGGTCCAATGGGAAAAGGGTCGCGTTCTTGGAGCCCCAAGTGGAGGACTGTGATAGCACCGGTGCCAAATCACCGGTGATCAACACGGGTCATGCCACCACTGAGGGAATTCTTAAAAACGGGAGCAGAACAGTGGGACAGACTCTCACGGACACAGCCCTCTTGGCATAACAAAACATCATCGTCATTCCGTCTCGGATGAAAATATACACGGGTCAGAAAACATGAGGGACGGTCGGCTTTTGGGTGACATTTCAGGATGAGCCTGAAATACGCAAACCTTTTTCAAACAGTCATCCCATCGATTAATCGAGTCATTCTATACACTGTCCAGTGATATTGAGAAGCACAGGTAGTATTGTTGTCCACTTGACTTGAAGTGTGTGGTTTCTGTGTGGGTGTGGCTTAAAAGCTCGAGCCTGAAGTGGTGAGTGACGTGGGTGTCAGCCAATGTGCTTGTCGTGTTTTGAGCTCAGGCTAACCGTTAGCCTGCACGTCAGTTGTCGCTTGTCTGTGAATCTGCTTATGATGCGTTTATTTGGTCGCTTGCTCCTTAAAGCGATTGAAAAGTCCAACACCGGCTGTGTTTATGCTTGCCCACTCGTGGAGGCATTAAAATATGTTCGTTCCTTCTGGCATCTCATCGAATTATTCATGTTCGCCTTTTATACATTCGAGCATTTTAGGTTCATCCTGAAATATCACCCAAAAGTACTTTTTTGAAGAGTGTATATTTATATGGAGACTCCATCTGGTAATGTGACAGAAACCACAGCAGAGATCTCAAAGATGATCGCAACGCATGCGACGGAACGGTCACGCTCGAGTCGATAACGGCGCCGCCCCAGTGTAGCTCATTGTCAGGTCTGACTGACTTTTACTAATTAAGACGTGTCGCGCTGTGCAAACACACAGCGCAGAAACCAATCCGAGCTTGATTTATTACAAACCAAGCCGTGTCTGCTGCATCTCCGAGTTATTTTAAATGGCGAGAGGACTACGGTTGCTATTGTGATGGAATTTTCCGGAGGAGTTAATTCACGCACCTTTATATCTGTACTGTATAGTGTCGTTGTTTCGTGAGATGTACCAACCCGACGCGGTAAGTAAGCGGCATCGTGAGAGGTCTGATTGTTATCAGAACGCACATATTAGCATGCATAATTGTAATACCCTCGTCAACATTACTGTAATCTTATCGAATGCCCATATTTTTTTTAAATGGTCTCAAAGTGCATCATCATTAAAAATGACTTCAAATCTACTAAATACTAAACCGAAACTCTAACAACCTCAAGTGGCTATAAAAAGTTTACACACCCCTGTTCAAATGAAAGTTTTTGATTTTGTTTGTTGCTTTGGTGCCAACACCGACTGCTATTTTGAAATGTTCACACCTTATGTCAGGCCCAAGTGCCAAAATTTTGTCTGCGCCAAAGCTACATTTTGGGTTTGTGGCCAAAACGTTCCACTTTGGTTTCATCGGGCCATATCAAAATCTCCCAAACACATGCAGCAAAATGATCTGATGAAGTTATACGTTTTCAGAATGGTGCACAAAAAAAAAACAAAAAAATCACCCAAAAATAATGTTTTATTTTTATTTATTTATTTTTAATTTATTTGTATTTTTATTGAAACAACAACAAAAAACGCTATTTGATCAAAGGCTGCGTAGACTTTTTGTATGCACCGCGTGTCTCGGAATGTCACCTCACCATCTGGCGAGATGCTTCAAAAGCGAGAAATTCTATTCAGCGTTTGCTTTTTTAGCTTGAGCGCTGAAGGTCAAAAGTAGGCAGGCGCATGACTGATACATATTTCCACTCTCTGTATCTTTTGAATAAAAAGTGCTATTAAGGCCCTCGCTCATCCATTTGCCGGCTTTATGGACCGAGCGATTCCAAAGCGAAAGTTGCCGTTGGAAATATTGACCCTTTGCGCCCGAGAAAAGAAAGGCAGTGGAGTGAAGTGTCATTCGGGCCATATTGGTGTCACCCAATGAGGAAAAGGTGTGACCTACATTCTCCCTTTGTCTGATATTTTTAGCTCCGTGATGTCGTTTCCAAGGTGCCAAGAAGCTTGTGTTGCTTCTCTGTGTGTCCTGTTCACATAATATTCCATCGTTGAGTTTTGGTGTTTCGTTAGAATGCATAGTCAAGTGCTCTGTCATTCGTGTGTCTTGCACATTTGAAAAATGAAAATAAATAAATAAATAAATAAATAACACGTTGACTTTTCGAGGCTACGTTGTTTTGTTTTTGCCTCCAGGAAGTCATTATTTTAGGCGCCACGTGGAAATAAAGTCCCTTTGGGTGATAAAATGAAAAGTAGGATTACATCAGAAGGATTTAAAAGCATGGCAAATAACCTCTTAGTGAGTCAGCAAATCACAACCCCCCCCCCAAAAAAAAAAAAATCCTCTTATGGCCTTTTCAATTTGCTCGTGAAAAAGTGAAACCTCCAAGCCTATTTTTGCACGCTTTTTTTCTCTCTCAACACTTCAGATGATTGTACAATCATTTCAGTGGCAGTGAGTACATAAGGAGCCTTTTTCCAAAAAGTGTGTGATGCTTTCAGAAGTGACGGGAGGAGGGTGGGGGGTTGGGGGGGGGGGTATTGGCTGCTCTTGGTGATGGTTCCCATCGTGACCAGCTTGAAATACCGCTCCCAGGGGCGAGGTGTTTGTCACATCTTGCCATGTTGACTTTTAATGACTGAGTCCCATAATACGTTCTTTATTGTCTATGACACATTGTCAGTGAAGACTGAATTAAATCCTCCAATTTGAATTTGAACTAATGAACACCTCCCTCGAATAATATTCGTCACTTGGACGACATTGCAAAAGTGAGATATGTTCATGTCAGGATGTTATACCTGTGCGGTGGCGCCCTGACTTTTGCTTTGAGCTAATCTGATCCGCTAACACGGAATGCACAATGCCACAGACGTGCTAATGAATAGCATCAATAGTCGCCATGTTACAAATGTTGAAGCAGTAGCTATTTGAACACAACCAGTGCAGTAACACATGGAGACAGGCAATTGAACATTTTTCACAGGCATATATTCTTTATCCTCTGGGAAAGTTGACAATACAATTACGAAAGGTACGTTATTGCAGCGTACTGTGACAGTTGTGAAACTCTTCGTTGCGTGCCTCTCTGTTTGCATTATACTGCTTGCTTCCTGGTGGGCACGCACATTAGAAAGCGCATGAGTGGATTAATGCCACCTCGAAAAACATAATTTGACATTTTTTTAGAGTTATGACGGGTGCTAAAACCTAAAAAATTCAATTTTACTCATTTTAGCAAGTTCGGAACGTGAAAGCTCACGTTGACCACTCTGCTTCGCTTTAATGAATAACACTTTGATCAAGATCCACTAGGACACATTAATCTTCTCAGCGCCGAGTGGAAAATGTAATAATTTCCTGACGGGTCATGAGTCAAACGTTGGAGAAATTGTAATGAAAGTGGGAGCCGTATTGCGAAAATAGCAACATTAATGTGAACGTGTTCAGTATAATGGCATCATTTGGCAGATTTCCCACTGTTTAATAATCCTGCCTTCTGATCTTTTATGTTCCATTCACCTTGTTCTTGAAGTCTCCCCCAGAAGAGTGTAAAAGGATAATTCACTAGCTTGTCTTTTTCACTACCGGTAAGCATGGCGCCATGCAGACCTACTGCTTGTTAAGAAAAAGCCTTTCTGTGATTCCTGTTAGTATTCTGCACTCGTCAAACCTGCATGGAGTGATTTTTTTTACCCTCCTTCAGCGACAGCTCACGTGCTGGACAAATGAATGAAAGCTTGTCAAACACGCATCAAAAATTAATAGTATGTGATAGAAACCGCTGTTCTCGGCGCAAACCGTGTATGTTCCGCTCTTTGGAGCGTGCACGTGCAAACCTGAGTGGAGGTTGAAGCATGAGCAATTTGTACATGAACAACAACGAAAAGGCTCAATCCTCTCTGAGCCTCCGCTTAGTTCTTGGTACCTCTGATAGTGTCTGGTCCGCACACCAGAGGCACAGGGCAGTTGCGTAGGCTCGGATTAGCTCAGAGTGTTAAGGTGCGGCGATGCCATTTAAAGATTTGAAAACAAATAATAGGATCTTTAAAAGAACTCTAAAATGTATCGGGAGCCAGTGACGGGACGCCAGAGTAGGAGTGATGTGCTCCCTCTGACGAGTACCAGTCAAGAGGTGAGCAGCAGAATTCTGGACGAACTGGAGACTCTTAATGGAGGATTGGCTGACTCCTAAGTAAAGTCTATTACAGTAGCAGTGGAAGGAAATACCATGGAATCCAAAGAGAGCAGATACATTGAGAACAGCAGAGGCCCCGGAATTGAGCCCTGTGGAACACCACACGGCAGTGGGGCCGTTCGCGACTCAGAGCAACGAACACTAGCACAAAAGGTTCTGTCAGCTAAATAGGAGCTAAACCACTCAAGGGCGCTACCGCCACTGCCCACCAGGTGCTGCAAACGAGCCAACAGAATACTGTGATCCACTGTATCAAATGCTGCCGTTAAATCCAATCAAACCAGACACACGGAGTCTCCAGTGTCATTTGCCAGGAGAATGTCATTAGAAACTCATAACAGGGCTGACTCAGTGCTATGCATCATCTTGAAACCTGACTGGAAGACCTGCAAGATGTGATATTCATCCAAGAAAATTGCAAAAATAAATCACAAATATAACTTGAGACCAACTAATTAATGTAGCTGCAAGAAATTGGTATAGATATTTGTTTTCAATATCATTTTGCTCAGTGTGCTACTAATACAAATAATCCTTCCAGCATGAAAAAAATGTGCAGATGCCGGTTTGCGCAAAACAAATGAGCACATTGTGCCTCTTCCACGACAGCGAAGTGAAGTTAGTTTCCGTGCAGATGAGCTGGACACCTGCCGTCTATCACCCGCATAAACCTCATCTAACAACTCTCCGCGCAGCTTCCTTTCCTTCTCAGTCGCTCCCTTGGAAACGCCGAGGCACACCGCGCCGCAGCTCCTGTCGTCTCGTAATTGGAAGGCTTTGGCTAGAGCCCTGGCACGCCGTAAAACCCGATATGACAATGCCGTGTCGCACATTTGGGAATGTTTTCAATCTCGTTACAGATTTGAAAATGGCACAAAAGGGGAACATTGCCGCTGAGACTGCACTTCATTAGAATGTGGGAAAAGCAACCCGAGAATCGGCGGCAGTTTATTTGCGGGCAGCACGCAGAGGGGGATAAACACAAGCGCATCGTCTGTGAAATTGCCAGCGCAATCTGATTCGGTGAATCCATCAGGATCCCTCGCTACCCCCGATCCATCTTATATGAAATAAATATGTTCCTTGGTCCTTTTGGTTTCAGCTGCGACTTGAGCGCCTGACGGGAATTTTCAGGCTGATCGCTATCGGTTATGAAAGCAGATGAAGGACAAGAAGTCATGTCTTTTCATGTTCCCGGACTGGATTGAGACCAAACAAGTCCATGCTGTGTTGGATGTAATCAGGGCGCCTCAGTGGGGAAACAAACTCACTTATACTGACTTTTAAGAGTGTGTTTGTGTGTGTGTGTGTGTGCGCGTGTGTATGTGTGTGTGTGCAGTAAGTAGGTTACTTAAAAGCAGGGGGCTGAGTGTCAAAACTGCAAAAATGGACAACCTTATTTTGCTGGCTCTTGGACCGGGGGGGGGGAGGGGGGGTTCCAACGAAGCAAGTACCCCCCCCCCCAAAAAAATACAAACACCATGACCAACGCTACACTTTTCACGAATGTCGCTGAGACCAAGTGTTCATCAAATGACAGTTTTCATTCCTAAGGTGTGCACTCCCAGTCATATATTTGGAGACACGTATCCCTTGAATAGCATGAAAAAGTGTTTCAAAACTTTTTTTTTTTTTTATTATTGAGTTTTTATTTCATATTATTGGTAGCCGCTGTCACGTTATCGACTGGTCTGCCATTCAATGGCATCATGACGAATCAGCATTCATACTCTTATTCTATTCTTATTCTCTCATTCTGAACAATGGACACTTGAGAGTGTTTGATTCATCGAAAAAGCAAGCAATAGAAACGGAGCACGATTCTCTTTGTCAAAGCCGACTATTCAATGCAAATGAGAGTCCCTCATTAAAAGCGCGCGGGCGTTGCCAATGTGGAGTGCAAGTCAGTGCGCTTGTGCTGTTCTCGGCAAAATATAAGCAGCGCTTTGTGTTTTGAATCAGCTTTGCATTTCCATCGCACAGCACAGTTTGCATGCTCTTGCATGCTAATCAGTTGTGTGTTTTTTTTGTCTTTGTTTTTATGTTTGTTTTTTTGCCTTGATTCATTAACTTCTTCTGCAAAAGGCGCAATTTATTGTGCCACGGGTGCAGTTTACAGCAACGGCCTCAGCCTTGGAGAATAGAGGCGTGCTGCTTTCTGTCTATCTGTGCTCTCTCTCTGTCTTTCTCTCTCTCTCTCTCTCGCTCTCGTGTGTGTTTATATCTGAGATCAAATTTGCTCCAGTGAAAACCCCTCTGTTGTGAAAAAGTTTTTTTTTTCTGTTGGGTTTTTTTTTTCTTTCAAGCAGAAGCCTGAAAGTTTGAGGTCCAAATATTGAAGGTCACAAGATGGTCAAAAGTCTTGAAATGAGTTATCGTGGTCTAATTTTTGGTCTCGTAATTGTTTTTTCCAGAGTTGTCGATACAATGTATTACACTGTACTGTTTCATCGAAATAGCGATTTCAAAACAGTCCGACCAAATTTCGCTAGAGCTGCCGGGTCACAGTCAGGATGCACTTGAGTAGCGAGCTGCATCCTCAGGAAATGTAATTTCCATATTCCCTGGCACTCTGATGCGCCTCTATGTGTGCGTGTGTGTGTGTGTGCATAAGAATTGAAACGAATTGAACCTGACAAAATGATAGCCGATGCCCAGCCGCTGCACATAGATAACAATGTTTTACTCCGGTTGTGCCACTTTCCTATCGTTTGGACTGAGATGCAATTATTTTTTGTCCTTTATACTGAATAACGTGACCTTTCATCTTGGGTTAATCGCGCATGTGCCAATTCACCCTGAATGCATTGTGAAAGTAGTAGTAAGAAAGTAATTTACTCTCGGAGAAAAAAAAAAAAAACACTGACAAATCTTGAAATGCATAAACAGGCGATTCAAGATAAAAAAAAAAAATGCAATTTATCGTTTGTGGCATTTGGAGGCCCAATCCAGGATGTAACACCTCGCTGTCTAATAACGTATAAGGCCGTTTACAAGCGCTTGTTATCTACTGCGTTGACATTTAGGAAGCTTTTCCGATGCGTGCAGATTACAGGAGTAAGAAAACTCGTTTCCTTCTGTTTCGTATGAGAACGGGGGTCGGCGGTGGTGGCGGAAACTGACCACAAAAATGTCCGGGTAATGAGATGAACCCTTCCATGCAGCCTGTAACCCGATAACACGATAAGCTGTCCACTGTAGTAACACCGCCGTTCGATGGCCAACCGCTGCACATAGATAATGTTTTACTCCGGTTGTGCCACTTTCCTATCGTTTGGACTGAGATGCAATTATTTTTTGTCCTTTATACTGAATAACGTGACCTTTCATCTTGGGTTAATCGCGCATGTGCCAATTCACCCTGAATGCATTGTGAAAGTAGTAGTAAGAAAGTAATTTACTCTCGGAGAAAAAAAAAAAAAACACTGACAAATCTTGAAATGCATAAACAGGCGATTCAAGATAAAAAAAAAAAATGCAATTTATCGTTTGTGGCATTTGGAGGCCCAATCCAGGATGTAACACCTCGCTGTCTAATAACGTATAAGGCCGCTTACAAGCGCTTGTTATCTACTGCACTGACATTTTGGAAGCTTTTCCGATGCGTGCAGATTAGAGGAATAAGAAAACTCGTCTCCTTCTGTTTTGTATGAGAACGGGGGTCTGCGGTGGTGGCGGAAACTGACCGCAAAAATGTCCGGATAATGAGATGAACCCTTCCATGCAGCCTGTAACCCGATAACACGATAAGCTGTCCACCTTAGTAACACCGCCGTGCCTGAAAAGGTTAACTGTGCGTGTTAGGTGCACAGGTCGGCTTTGCGTCCTGTCGAGTGGCTCAAACCAAAACTCGTGTGTTTGATTTGATGAATCACACAACTCGGAGGTGATTGTGTGCGCATCCATTCCCCATATGAGTAAAATCTCTGTCTGGTTTTGGATGAGCGCTTAGTTCTACTACGCGACTGTATCTCAAGGTTGATTTGTGATGGTGAGACTTGGAAAACAAAATATGTTTTTTTTTAGGTGGCGCTCAGTGTAAAAAAAAAATGCTGTTGAGCATAAACAGCGGAATGTTGTCTGGTGTCCAACCATGCATCAATTATCGCGGTTGCCCTTGAGATATTAAATTGAAGGATGCTAATTATGTGTTCATGGAATGGACTGCCATGACTACTAATTTAACACCGCGTAATTATACGCCGGGCTCTAAAATCGATGGCGGCGGGATTTGGAGTTCTACGGGTCACATTGTTCACACAGCAGGAGAAAAGTGAAGGACATTCTCCGTCTCCGGCCGCCCTCGGTGGCAACTTTGCTCCACCACACCTCACATCCACTTTTGATTCCTCAATCTGCCAAAATGTAGGATATTGCAGAAATGTCAGATATTATCCTCCCCCGTCCCCTGACAGCCTTATGTAAGTCCCGAGCGTGTGTCAGGCATAATCCTCTTAGTGGGAGAAGGGGTCGCCTTAATGGGAAACAAAACAGTTTGCCTCCTCTGTCCTCTGCCTTTTAATAATCAAAATGGAATTTGCATGAAGGCCGGCGCACCATGTGTAAGAGTAATCCTCGCTGGAGGACACGACTGTGCTCCCGATATATACACACACATGACTTTAGTCTAGGTGAAAAGATTTTGGATTAACGTGTGGACAGTGTTAGCGATGTCGAACACAAGCACGGTTGTGTTGATGGACACGGGCGTGTTCCGTGGTCAGGGGTGACACTTTTGAGTACACGGAAGGCCAAACTTGAGTTGATGTGCTTCATTTTCATAGCGTATTTTCTGTATAGTATGTCGTTATTGTGACGCAACAGCTTCTAAAAACCCTTATGTGTCAAGCGTGATGAAAAGTTGGCAATAACTAAATACAGTATCGTGCAGGAGTGTCAAACTCATTCATGGCCCGGACCACGTTTTAGTTACCGTTTCACTTGGAGGGCCGTTATGACTGAAACCATATAAAAGGTCACGCATAACTGTTGAGTCAACTATTGTTTAAGTTACTATCATAAGGGGTTTGGTAAATGCTTTGAATATATCTCTTATTTATGACGTATGAGAATTTAAAATGTTGGTCAACATTTTAGAAAGGATCATGGAAGTTGATCCCGGGGGCTAGATCTGGCCCCCGGGCCTTGAGTTTGACACCTGTGGTATTGTGTATTGAGTTAAAAAAAAAAAAACATAAGGCATTGTACTTGTTTAAGAAAAAAAATGAATGTATGCCTCATGATTGGACTTTGGGAGCGAAGCACTCTATCGCTCTCAGTTAAAAAAAAACATAAGGCATTGTACTTATTGAAGAAAAAAATTAATGTGTGCTTCTTGATTGGACTTTGGGAGCGAAGCACTCTATCGCTCTCTGCTGGTCATCACAGGACATTACAGGATTGGTGACTTCGGGCAGTTTCCCCAACCTGGGGTCCACGTACACTTTGACCACAGGTGACAAACTCTCCACTACAAATTAAAAAATATATATATTCCATTAAAATGTCGTTCTTTTGACAACATCCGATACTAAAGCTAAAATAATTCAGCAATGCGTTAAAAGTGTAAATATGGGCAGAGTGACAATTAAGCGTGGTTTATGTTTGCAAAGCGTGATGACGCTCGCTTGTTGCTCACCGTATACGCCCAATCCTGAGGTAAACTGCACAAGGTCTGGATAGTTTACTCATTGCCACCGAAGTGTACCTTCCTCTCGGATGACCTATTTTTTCTCTGGATAGTTTACTCATTGCCGCCGAAGTGTACCTTCCTCTCGGATGACCTATTTTTTTTGTTGTTTTTGTTTCTAATTCATTTCAAGTCAGTGTGACCCGAGTTCGCGACTGAATGCGTGCAATGAATGTGAGGGCGCAGCTGTCCCCCCTCCCGAAAAGAAGAAAAGAAGGGACCTCATGAGGAGTGAGCAGGAAAACAAACTTCCCGGGAGCTTTTAATGAGCGGGGGGATTTGAGGGGCTTCTCTGCTGGGGTTAAACTCCAAACGGCGCACGCTTGGACTGCAACTTCTTCCATCTTTAGCAAGGTTAGTAAAATTTGGGATTTTATTTTTATTTTTTTTTTTTGCCATTGGTAACGCATGTGAAGAAAGTAGACCGTAAGCGTGTTTGTGTGTGTGTATACAGGTGTGAAAATAATTCTCTCCGTTGTCTCGTCAGAACAGCAACCGATTTAACTTCATGCGCTTTAAGGCAATCGTGTACTTGTCACTCCGTATCTGTGATTTCATGCGAACCCTGGCCGTGTACTGTTTTATCTCATAAAAGGGCCAAAGGGCATTGGAGTTTGACCAGCTCACTTTAAAAGTGTGCGTTCAAATAGCCGCAAGTCACTGTCATCATATATTTTCATTATTAAGCCCCTTTTTAAAGGTTTGTGAGGTTTCTGTCTCGTTCAATTGTGAATCATTAAGAAATTAGGTTAAAATTAATCTGAAATTCTTGACTGTCATACAATGATTTTTCTTTTTTATGATGACCGTATTTTACGAACTATAAATCGCATTTTTGTTTTCATAGTTTGGCCGGGGGTGTGATTTATACTTTGGAGCGATTTATGTGTGAAATTAGGATATCATTTCACATGTTATTTTCACATTGAGCCACAGGAGGGCGCTCCAGGCCTGTGTAGAGAAATCAACGTCACGTCACGTTGGCACATCCGTACACTTATTCAGCCTATTGTTCTCGATTTTATTTTTATTTTAAATTGCCTTTCAAGTTGACATGTCTGTGCTTGGTGTTGGATTTTACCAAATACATCCCCCCCCCCCAAAAAAAAACTTATATATGTTTTTTTTTCTTATTTATTATGCATTTTATGGCTGGTGCGATTTATACACCCGGAAAATATGGTACTTAGATGAGCAAATAAAAGTAAAAAAAAAAAAAAGTTCAACAAAAGAATTCCCTCACAATAAATCCTCCATCGAGCCTTTTCATTCGGGCTTCTTTATTTGATTGGATTAACAAAGGTTGATTGCCTTGGTTTGATCTCATCACATACTCACTGAATCATCCTGTTAAAAAGTCTAAATACCATTCTTGGGATGTTATGAGAACACTAATCATTCATCATCAATCATGTCATCTTTTAAACTGTCCCTGTGTCATTTATATGACCTTCATTGGACTTACACGGCGACTTCTAAAGGTCTTCAGCGTTCCATCTGCCATTCTCGCTGACAAATGGAGCTCATCCAGAACCAGAACTCCACTCGGGGCTTCTCGAGCCTCCTCGTCTCCCGCTGGGAGTCGCCGCCGCAAATGTCATCATATGGTTAGTCTTCATTATATCTTCATTATGCGCACAGCGCATTCATGGATTTGATTGAACTGTTTATTTTGATCATGCACTAAAAAGTAGGAAAACTTATGATCCAATGAAACCAAGAGATCAAGTATTACAAAAGCCTTGACATTTGAACAAAAATACCTCCACACGTAAAGAGTACACGGGCTGAACAATTTCTCCTTTCTGTTCCCCCCCCCCGACAGAAAATAGCGTCATCATCATGCTGGGCGTGTTGATGTTTGCCCTACAGCTGTGTTTGGCTCTTCTTGTCATGTGGCGATGTCTGACGTTTGACAACAAAGTCAGAAAGGCTGTGGAGCGCTCGCAGACTTTGCAGAAACTCCAGATCGGTGGGTGTTTAGCGCTCCATTTGAGTTTTTTTGGAGGTTTGACTGATTTCACGTTGTCACGTTGAATGATTTAAGCTGCTAAAAAGAGATTTGTAGAGTATAAGTGCTTCATCAACCAGGCCTGCTGGACTATATGTGTATGTTTTGTTCAGGCACTCATTCAGTTTTATGTTGAATGTAAAATCTTTTTTTTTTTTTTTTTTTTACCTCAAGATCCCTCATCCTGCCTGCGAGATGTTTCCAAACAGACTTCTTATCAGCCTTATGATGATAGCTGTTTATCATCCGCAGCTATAGACGGATGCTATACGACTGCAACAGACCAAAACTGTCTCTTGGGACCATCAATACCTTGGGATCTAGTTCAGTCCTGAAAATGAAAATTGCAACCAATCGAACCACCTCATAGATGAAGAAAAACCCAGTTTGTCTTGGGCTGTTATTGAAATTGTTGGACCAAGTACTTTACAAATAGCAAAGTGCAATGAGCTGCTCATGAGCAAAACCGCAGTGACCTGTTGTACGGGCGACATGATCAAGAATCTGTTTCGGTGTCAGATAGGGGCAGTCAATGGTCACACAATAAGTTCAATGACTGAAATCAAACATGTTTTGTTGCATCATAAAATAAGTAACTTGTTCACAATTACTACTATTTTTTATGTATTTAATTTTTAATTGAACGGTATTTGACTATTGCCTGTTGCTTTGTGTAATTTGCTTCGCGACAACCACAAAAAGTACTGACTTGTTATTCACGCACTGGCCACTATCGCAACATCTCTTCAATCATACAAGTTTGTGAAAACATGTTATTTTCCACATCATTATGGATGTCACTGTTTAAGTTTAGTTTTTTGTTGAAATATTTTGAATTATGTTTTGTGTATTTGTGCATTGGTATTATTCGGAGTTCGCGTGTAGTTCCAGGAATCGCCAGCGGGTGGCGGTAGTTCAAGAAACATCATCAAGTGTTGACAGTTTTTCTTTCGAGTAAAGAAGAGTGATAACGCCGACTATACCAAACAAACGAGTCATTCAATGATTTTCACTGTCTAAAACTAGGTTTAAAGTGGAGTTATTCTCATTTTGTGTTCTTTGCTTTAATAGTTGAGCATGGATTAATAAATAGTCACCCCAGGTTTGCGGTCAACGGAACCATTTGTCATTTCAGTGTTCGAGTGGCTAGCTAACTGGCTAATGGTGGCTATCAGCAACTTTTCGTCAAGAAGATGGAGTCTGGTCTTTTTTCAACGATTTCCCAAGGTTTGTTTGCCAGTCCTGAATGAACAAATACAAACTGGGGGTAGTGGCTTGGGGTTGTCATCTTGTACCTGCAAAAAAATGCGTGCACAGACTTTAAATAATTGTATAAAATAATCGCCAACATTTTAAAACGTAATTGTAACGTAACACCTCTCAAACTTTCGACAAACGTTTCTACCTAAATATTATGGAACTGTTCAATAGATAGATTAAATTCAAAATATGTCCATCTTTCCAATCATTGTACGCCAAGACAAGAATAAAAAAATGCCCAATGTTAGGTAATCACTGAATCAATCATTTTAGAAATCAAGCCAAGACAAGAATAAAAAAATGCCCTATGTTAGGTAATCACTGAATCAATCATTTTAGAAATCAAATGACGTAGCCCAGTTTGAGAACCACCGTGTAACGTATTGTAACTTGTATGGAATATATTTTCCCAGGTAGCCCATTACCTCTGGCGTCACTCCGCCTCCTGGTGCCACCTCTGCATCTCCTGTCAGCCTCCATGTGGCAGACCCTGGAGAAACAACAAGTCATGAGCTACTGGGAAATGGCCGACTTTGTCTCTTTGGCTATGGAGATGGTCCCGGAGCTGCTCGTATACAAGCACTGGATTCAACTCAACCTAGGTTTAAGAGCCAGGGTGAATACAACCAAGAAGGGAGAGTAAGAAGTCATGCAACAACATAAGCGTCATCATGCCTATCTCTATTTTCAGTATATTTTGGAATTATGCCGAAGTGAAGCGCCGCTGGAATGTGACATCATCTTGTCTCTCCTGGCTAAGATTAAACAACAAAACATCTTTGCAGTAGACGTGAGTGCCCTTTTCATTCCAGTTTCTGCGTCCGTCTTTTAATTTCGCTGACAGTTGAAATATGCTGTGCGTCCTTACGTTGCAGGTAAATGAAGAAGAGGAAGCCGCAATTTGCTTTCGGGAGTTAATTCGGGTTCTGCTCAAGGATCCCGAAGAGAGACGGCACTTCTTTGTGGTAAGACATCATCAATGTCATTTTTAATCAATAGTGTGTGTGGTCAAAGGATTTAATTTGTGACTCTTTTATCATCGCAAAGGAGGTCTTCCCTTCGCAGTACGGACCAGAATATGACCGGGATTTAAAGTCCCTCTTTTGGGAGTTCCTGTGTCGACTAGTTCAGTTGTTACCTGTTCCTGATCTCAAAGAGGTGAGGAACGACTTTATGAGGTTGTCAATTGTTACAGCAGAACAAATTATATTGAATTGCCACTGCTGCTCTTTCAAAACTTGTACAAAGAACTGTCGCACTTCAGGAAAAAAATCTCAGATACCGAGGCACTGTGAAAAGCATTTTTTTCAAAACAGCCCATCACAAAACAACATGCTTTTAACATATTAAAACAAAGTTATCCTGCGGTTTAAAAAAAAATCAGCAATATGCTTTTTAATGTAGTTGTCTTTGTTGTTAGCTTACCTTATTTAGCTACGTTAGACAGGCAAAATATTAGAAACACCTCTGTGGCAATGAAAATGCATTTCCCGGCGCCCACATTCGAGAAATGTACTGTTGGGATTGTAAAAGGGGTAATAAATGTCACTAAAATATTCGAGACACATCTCAGAGTGTTGTTGCCATTCTTTGTAATATCGTGATGGTATCATCTGTTTTTTTTTTTTTTTTCAATCTTATCAATTGCAGACTGTATGCTGGCTCGAAGCGTCAATATCGGCTGAACGTGTGCATTCGCTCGCTGAGGCGAATGACCTCAAGGTTTTGCTCCAGCACCACAAAGACCTTAAACGTTTAAAGCAACATGGTAACTGTATATTTCCGAAGCAATTTATGCGATTATTCTGCGACTATGAACTAACTTGTGTTATTTTTTTAAAAAAAATGTAGTTCCAGCCACAAGCATGGGGGACAATATCCTTGCCTCGCTCTCTGCCTTTCATGCTTGCAGAATGGAAAAAGCTGAACAGCGGCCTAACGAATCAGGCCCGGATGGTGACTGTCCCATACATGTGCCCACAATGGACGAGGTGACAGTTGAGATCATTGCAGAGGTTGAAGACAACGGCGGAGTTGAGCAAGCAGAAGACACGACAGCAGACATGGATGATGGGAAAAAAGAGAAAGAAATGGATGAAAAGCCACAAAGTGACCTCACGGCGACGCACCAGGCGGTCGTTCACGAGGACGCCTCTGCTTCCGTTCGGCCTCCGATCTCTTCGGGCCCTCACGACTGTCCGGACTGCAACAGGAAATTCAAGTTTGCCTCGTCGCTCACAGCCCACCGGGTCATCCACACAGGGGAGCGCCCCCACCGCTGCTCCGAGTGCGGCCGCTGCTTCTCTTTCCGGCAGGCCCTGAGGCGGCACAGTAACGTGCACAAAACCGCATGCGAGTACGAATGCGACATCTGTGGGGAGACTTTTCCGTCCGTGTCGGCGCGCTCCTGCCACAAGCAACAAACGCACGTGGCGGGTGACGCGTTTGCGTGCCCTCAGTGCGAGAGGAAATTCACCTGTGAGACGGCGCTCTCGAAGCACTTGGAAACTCACGTCGGGTCAGCGGGGGATGCCGCGCCCGATCCGGGGGAGGTACCGGTAAACGCGGCTGTCGTTTCTCTCGTCAACGTCCGCACAAGCCGGCGCAAACGCAAACCCACCATGAAGATCCAAGTCATCAACTTGCAGAAACGCATGAGCAGCAGGACGAAGCGGGAAGTCACCGGGGAGAGACCACCGACCTCCTGGAGTTGGTCAGTTTCGTTCTGTCTTTCTCTTATAAATATGGTGAGGGCGAAAAAAAAACTCATTTTTAAAATGTTGGATGAATATGTAAAAAAATTAAGTACCGTATTGGCCCGAATATCAGACGGCCCTGATTATAAGACGACCCCCTCTTTTTCAAGACTCAAGTTTGAAAAAAGACTTTTTGAACACCAAATTAATTTTTATACAGAAAATAATGACAGTACATCTGAAACAAATGATTGTAACGATATATTTGAGAGAAAAAGCATGTTATTTTGCCTCATTCAAATCTTAATAGCTGAAGATTTAAATATGTAAACTAAAGTGCAATCACATTTGTAAATGAATGGCTTCTGGTTTTTGAAATGTAAATTACATCGTAATTTCTCCTCAGCTGCCGGTTAACCTGGCCGATCTTTGATCCACTTTTCTCCAGATTGTCGCTACGTTTCTCCATTTTCTGTGATCTCTTCTATTATTTTCTTCTCTTTTCTTTCTTACCGCTATTTTTTATTTTTCTTCTTCTTGTTACCGCTATTTTTATTTTTATTCTTCGTGGCAGGGCTTCACTTTGGCCTGGGGAGTCAAGGTCAGCATTCGCTTCAATGATATCTGGCGCCATCTAGCGTCGTGAATGGGTATAATGTCTAGACCCCGAATATAAGACGACCCCCACTTTTTCAGTCTTATTTCAATGCAAAAAACACCGTCTTATATTCGGGCCAATACGGAACATGGATTTATGGAGACTGATGGACTGATGTCTTAAACAGTTCCGAGCATTCGTACTGGTCGCCCTCCGTCTCAACAAAAGACACCGATGCAAGTGAGTGTTTGTTTTGTCGGCTCTCATTTTACACGCGACACTTTTTTCACACGTCTATAATACAACGTGCGTGTGTGTGTTTCTGTCAGCTCACCCGGCAGATGGCACGTCGACGGCTTTCCATCATTCAGAGGAACATCGGTCGCGGCAGCCCACGGAGCGCGTTCGCCCCGATGATGACAACATGGCCGCCGCCGTCCCAGAGGCTCGTTTCAACTGCCAAGACTGCGGCAAAAGATTCAAGTTCCTCTCCCTGCTGAAATCGCACCAGCGCATCCACACGGGTGAGCAGCCGTTCCTCTGCTCTCAGTGCGGACGACGTTTCTCCTTCAAGCAATCTCTGGAGAGACACAAGCAGACCCACAAGTCCGGATGCGGGCTCGAGTGCGGCATCTGCGGGGAGGTCTCAAAGTCCTTTGCGGCTCAGAAGGCGCACATGGACGCCCACACGGAAAACGACCGCTTTTTGTGCTACGAGTGCGGCCGCACGTTCGCGTGGAAGTCCGCGCTGGTGAGGCACCTCAAGACGCACGGCGAGGACGCCGACGAGGCGGAGGGTTCGCTCCGGTGCCCCCATTGCCAGCTGAGCTTCCGTCGCGCCGGCTCCCTCACCAGACACCTGCGCACGCACCGGGAGGAGCGAGCGTACGCCTGCAGCTGCGGCAAGAGCTTCGCCTACCAGACGGCGCTCACCACCCACCGGCGGATCCATCAGAAAGAGCGGCCGCACGTTTGCGCGCAGTGCGGCAAGGGCTTCCTCTACAAGGGCGGCCTGGTCAACCACATGAAGATCCACTCGGCGGAGATGCCCTTCATGTGCTCCTTCTGCGGCAAGCGCTTCAAGCGGGAGCGCAACATGAAGAAGCACGAGCGCTGCCACACGAGAGAGAACGTCTACGGCTGCTCGCGGTGCGACAAGAGTTTTGTGTACAAGGCCACGCTGATCCGCCACGAGCTGACGCACTCGGGCGAGAGGCCGTACCTGTGCTCGGACTGCGGCAAGGGTTTCTTCTCCCACGGCGAGCTGCTCAAGCACGAGCGCTTCCACACGGGCCACAAGCCCTTCCGGTGCCCGCACTGCGGGAAGACGTTCACCCAGTCGTGCTACCTGACCATTCACCTGCGCTACCACACGGGCGTGCGGCCGTACGCCTGCGCCGAGTGCGACAAGAGTTTCTTCAGCGCCACCCGCCTCAAGAGACACGCGCAAACGCACACGGGGGAGAAGCCCTTCCGCTGCGGCGAGTGCGGCAAAGCGTTCAAGCAGTCGTACAACCTCAAAATGCATCACCGGACACATAAGATAACATGACGAGGAACGTTTTATTCGGAGTGCCCGCCGCGGTACAAAGTCGGGGATCTTGACGTGAAATTTCAGGGTGAACCGAAAATCCGCTTGAACTTTTGCAGGTGAGCATAATTCAACTCATTCACTCCCAAAGACGTTTTTAAACGTCTTTTCAGACTTGGTCCAGAATTGGCTGGTACTGAATGAGTTAATAAATAATAAAACATTTAAAAAAATCATTAAAAAAATATTTAAAAAAAACATTACATGGATGGAGAAGGTATTCATGGCGCTTCCCCTTGATCCAAAATTGCAAAATTCTATTTTTTTTAACAATCTTGGATTTCTTTGGAGGAGATTTCTGCAATTTTTTTTTTTTTTTTAACGAGCACAAAAAAAGTCGCATCAAAAGAAAAAAAAATCACGACGAGGTGTGTAGATTTCAAGTATTCACCACTTTCCATATTTTTACTGCCTTTCTGTATGGTTTTAAATTTTCACACCTTTCCATATTTTATGCTAGAACCGTCTTTAAAAAAAATGAAATGCAAAAACTTGCCCCTCAAAATTTTGCACACCGCCACATTAGTTTTTTTTCCCCCACGCCACACTGTCATTTTTATCCTCTGTACTTTTTTTCTTTTTGCCATCATCGGGTGTTGCGTACAGAATTCAATGCATTTTAGACTAAGGCTGTAAAATTCCAAAACGCGGCGAAAGCGAAGCGCTGTGACTACTTTCATGTACTCAACAGGACGTGGCCAACTCCACACATTAAGTTCAGCACGTAAGTTTGTGTTCTAGGTTCATCCTGAAATGTCACCCCAAAGCCCAATATGCCTCTATCCAGGTTTTACCGTTTTAAAAACGACCAGAAGTTTGCTCTAGAAATCAGACTTTTATTTGTGCGATACAAGGTTAAAGGACAAAATACAAAACATTTTCACTCGAGGCTTTGCACATTTTGTGAAGGACAACTTTCGACCGCTTTTGTGGCATTGCAGCTTTTTTTTTTTTTGAGTCGATAGAACAGAAAGTGGCCACGCTTGGTCTTATCTTAAAATCTTCAGAGCATATTTAGTGTCGCATTTGAGCCTAACTAAGTTTTTATAATTTGGGTCTGCTTAAGAAAAAAAAATAAGGGCCAACAGGGCATTTCGAAACTTCGCACCTAAGCTACTGGTGAATATGCACCGAAAGGAGGCTACACAGCAAGGTGCAGCGTAATAGGGCAGTGGTCGCTCCCCATAGCCTTGTTGCGGATCTTGCTGTCGCAAAGAGCGGACACCAGGGAGGACGACAGCACAAAGTAATCGAGCCGCCAGCCCACGTTCTTCGACCTGGAATTCATCATGTAGGTCCAGAAGGTGTACGCGTTGGCCTGCTCGGGGTAGAGCTCGCGGAAGCTATCGACGAAACCGGCTTCCAGCAGCTGGCCGAAGCCCTCGCGTTCCTCCGGGGTGAAGCCGGCACTTTTCTTGTTCCCCTTGGGGTTCTTCAGGTCGATCTCCCGGTGGGCCACGTTGAGGTCGCCGCACAGCACGAGGGGCTTCTGCATGTCCAGCTCGGTCAAGTAGGCGCGGAAATCCGCGTCCCAGGTCTTGCGGTAATCTAAGCGCACCAGGCCTCGCCCGGCGTTCGGCACGTAGGCCGTCACCAGGTAGAAAGTGGGGAACTCGGCGGTGATCACGCGGCCTTCCTTGTCGTGCTCCTCTTTACCTTTACGATTGGGGAAAAAAACAGCGCCACATTTTCCGACTGTCCTCCTCCCTGGTTCATCATTCTTCAAATCTTACTCACCGATGCCATACGTCACTTTGGTGGGCTCTGTTTTGCACAGCATGGCCACGCCGCTGTAGCCCTCCTTGTCGTCCGACACGCACCAGTACTTGTGAGGATACTCGGGCATGGACGTGATGTCAGCGGGAAGGTCTTTTTCCGCGCACTTGGTCTCCTGCAGGCACAGGACGTCCGGATTCTCCTCCCGCACCCACTGGGGGGGGAGACCAACACCGGCATCAAGGGGTGGCGGAATTGGAAACAAAATGTGTGTGTGGGGGGTGTTGCAACTCACATCCAGGCCATTCTTCTTCACCCAAGCCCTCAGCCCGTCCACGTTCCAGGAAGTGATCTTCATATTAGCGTCGAGTCCATCTTTGCTGGTCGTTTTGTCGGGGGGGTCTTCGTACAAGATGGGGGCTTCTGGTTCTTTCGTTTTCTTCGCTTTCTTGTTCGTGCTTTCTGTAAATTGATGGCGGCAAATACGTTTTGAGAACGGATTTCGGGCGTTTTGTGTTATCCCGGACTCACCCGAGTTGGCGTCACCGTCCCCTTCTGCTGTCGCCTCCTCTGCCTTCTTTCCGCGCTTCATGCTTGAGCTTGTTCGAACGGCGGAAAACACACTTGGGAGCCGAGCAACACACACGCGCCAAACTTGAAGTGCCGCTGGGAAAGGGTGGAGAGAAAAAGTCACGTTAACAACCAAAAAAACGACACATTTTCATTCACACGAGTCTCCACAGTAGTGACCAGAACTGGAATGTGCTCATGATTGTTTCTGTTTATTCTTTCCACAGCCACAAGATTATATTATACCGATTGCGATATTGTTTGTTCTTTTTTTTTTTCCCCTGTTAACAAAGATTGCAAAACACAAGGTTTGGAAATGTGACAGGATATCAGTTCGATATCACATATGCTATTGCCAATCCTCTGGAAAAAAAAAATGCACATAATGTTTCAAACGACACCTCAGTCTAGTGCAAATTGCAACAACAAAAATTTATAATGTAAGGACAAAACTGAATTTTATAACAATTTTGCATCAGTCGTAGATGAAGCTTAGTTGCAGGTGTACCTCATAGTTTGGGGGTGGGGGTTAACGATATATGCATGACTACTGTCTCGACGAGGATTAATAAAGTAAAATACTCCAGGAAAGCACGTTGCTAAATTCAACCATTTAAACAAACTTAACCGCAACTGATCAAAAATTCATTAGCATGTTAGCAAGCCCAACAAAATGCGTGATGCTAACGTTAGCTTTTCATTGAAACAAAGACAAGCGACGGGAAGGCCTCCTCCAGAGAAGCCATCGAGAATATTTGCCTGCAAATTTAGCTTCCATTGGTTAAACACCGAGATCAAATGCTGCAAGTTTAAATATTCTCTCAGGAGACCGCAAACAAATACTGATTTTCACAGCATGCAAATAATCTCACTCGCACTTTCAGCAAGATGCCAAGTCCCGGACACGCTGCTCGCTCACAGACCAGCAGTCACTTCCCTAACGTGCATGGGAGAAGAGAGGAACTATTGAGGCGGCTAATGCGATTGTAATATGGTTATTATGACGTTAAGAAAAACCCAAACTACCTTTCAAAAATATCCAAGGGGTGAATGTTTTATACTGCACTGTGTGAGTAAGAAAGAGTCTTTACAGTTAGTATCGTTTTCATATAATACTTAATGGCAATAACCAGGCGCATGCGCACAAGTACAATTACCTAAAGCGGCTTTATTTTCCCACGTGCTCCTCAATGCCTGTTAAAAATTTCAGAAACGATTCCACTTTACATTTTTAAACACATATGTAAGTCCTGCAACATGTTTCAGTTCGTCGTAAAATGTTATTTGGGCGAGGGGGAATATTTAAGACATATAAACGCGTTTGTTGAAACTTAACAGTCAGGCGAGTCGAACACTCAGTTGGGTCCTCTGGACTGAACATGGACGAGTCGGTGAAGTGAAATATATATTTTTTTGAATTAAAGTACGGAAATTGGACTCATGCGAATTTAAAGTAGGGCTTAATGTAAGCACGGTGGTAGTTGGGTATTCATACTTAGTTCCCTGGGTGACAAAACAAGCTCTTTGGCGTTATTATCTACATGGTTAGCTGAAAAGATGCTAATGTTTTGATTCAATCAGGTGTGTGAATCAAAATAGACTGTTGTATATCTAAGTGCAAAGCTAGAGTTGTACCACTCGTTACCTTATATTCTCAATCTAGACCATTCATTTAGTTTCCTTTAAATGTGTGTGAAGCTGCAATGACTGTAGTAATTGGATTTGAGGGCAGTGCCAATAAGATTGGCATTGGGATCATCAGGGATGGAGAAGTACTTTCCAACCCTAGACGGACCTACATTACACCTCCTGGAGAAGGTAAAAAATGTGTTCGTTTTTTTTTTTGAACATGACACCGTAAGACCACCACTGCACTTGTGAATTGTATTCACATTTTTATGTTTTCCCCTAAACAGGATTCCAGCCCAGCGACACAGCCAGACATCATCGCTCTGTTATACTGACTGTCTTAAAGGAGGCTTTGGAGCAAGCGGGGTTGAAATCTTCTGACATAGACTGTGTAGCATATACTAAAGGTTTGTTCAGCATGTTGACATTGTGAATGTTATAAGATGGGTTTCTATTCATATTGGTTTCCTCATCTCACCAGGTCCTGGCATGGGTGCCCCCTTGGTCACAGTGGCTCTGGTGGCTCGCACAGTGGCCCAATTGTGGGGGAAGCCCCTTGTCGGTGTCAACCACTGCATTGGCCACATCGAGATGGGCCGACTCATCACCAAAGCCAACAATCCCACTGTGCTTTATGTCAGCGGGGGGAACACACAGGTTTCTGGCACGATTTCATCTTGTAGCAGGGCAAGGTGTTTTCAACCAATCTGTTGAATAATTGATGAACACTTGTGCGTTCACTCCTTTTCAGGTCATTGCGTACTCTGAGCGGCGGTACAGAATATTTGGAGAGACCATCGACATTGCAGTTGGGAACTGTTTGGACAGATTTGCCAGAGTGATCAAGGTGTGTGCCGTGTTCATTTCATGTTGAGTGTGCTGTATTTACACATACAGTATTTCTTTTTCGACAGATTTCAAACGATCCGAGCCCAGGCTACAACATTGAACAGATGGCCAAGAAGTAAGTGATAGTATACGACAAAGGCCACTATAGTGAACTAAAACTAACATGAAAGAAATAAAATAACATTAAAAAAAAATCACAACTAAAACTACATCTTCCGTTTATAAAGTAACAATTATTATTATTGCAAAAAAGCGTTTTCGCCTTTGTCAATTAATACAATAGATGGCGTTTTTTTGGGGGTTCATTTTAAATTTGGAGTGGCCAACTAGTCGATCGTGATCGAGTAGTAGCCTGCGGGCTGGTCCCAAGTTGATCGCGAGGGGTCTTGAGGGAACTGGACAAAAAATAAATAAAAAATGTGTGTGTCTGCGTCTTATTAATATTATACATTATAAAAAACCTATTACTTTCACAAAAAAAAAAACGTATTGAAAAACTAAAATAAAATTTGAAAAGCCTGTCACCTTTAACCTCTGGTGGCACGTAACCTGGACGTTGTTAGCAGTCTGCAATTGCAGTTTATGATCAGATAAGAGCCATTATGAAAAATCCAAAACCTCAACCCAGTCCACTATTATTTTTTTAAGCATCTTAACTGTGTTTCCTTTTTTATTTTATTGTTCAGAGGCTCTCAGTATGTGGAGCTGCCATATACTGTCAAAGGAATGGACGTGTCATTTTCTGGGATACTGTCCTACATTGAGGTGAGCGTTTGCAGCGACTCATTTTTAAAAGATCACAAAGTAAATTATTGACTTTTGTTTTGCTGTTCTAATAATAGGAAGCTGCAAATAAAATGCTTGGATCCCGTCAGTGTACAGCCGAGGACTTGTGCTTCTCCCTGCAGGTTAAAATTAACTCATAACCAACGTCATCAAATATATTGTACATGAATTGACGTCGGAGCCATGTTTGTGTTTGGTTGTTCAGGAGACGGTGTTCGCAATGCTGGTGGAAATCACAGAGCGGGCCATGGCTCACTGCAGCTCCCAAGAGGTTCTCATTGTCGGCGGCGTTGGCTGTAAGTACGTCAGGAACTGAGTTTAACCAATAGTTGACCCCCCCCCCAAAAAAATAAGATATTGTAACATTAAACTAGCATTGAATATGCAGGTAACCTGCGTCTACAGGAGATGATGGGGGTCATGTGCAAGGAAAGAGGAGCCAAACTTTTTGCCACAGATGAAAGGTACAAACACATCTGTAGGGGGTACCCCGAGGCTCAAAATATACTCACTTCTCCTTTCAAGACACATTGACTTCATTTAACAGGCATGTACTACTCAGCCTTGAAAGGATTTTTATTTTTTTTGCTGTATCATGTCTGATAATGACTTCCTGTCACATACATAAATGAAATGGTACCACGCCATAGATTCTGTATCGACAACGGCGCCATGATCGCTCAAGCCGGCTGGGAAATGTTTCGATCCGGCCAAGTGACCGAGTTGGAGGACTCCTGGATCACGCAGAGGTAGCGCACGTTTTACGTCTGTACATTTTTCAAGCCCACCGCGGGTTCATTTTCTACATTTGTGGACATTGCTTGCGTCGCAGGTACAGAACAGATGAAGTGGAGGTCACGTGGAGAGACTGATGGGCGGAGAATGTCACGGCTGGCACGTCGAGGGAAAAATTTGACTCGGTTCCATGAGACTTAAGTACAAAATGGACTCCTTCCCACAGACACGGTCCATCTTGTTTTCTCAGGTAGTTTTTGATATATCGTGCACGTGACAAATTAAAGTGAAGCGCAGACGGTCCTCGAGTGTTTGGGAGGAAGTGCTCGGCTTTTCTTGAACGCTCAACACTTTACCTTCTGCACACTTGAGGCCCCCTGTCAAGAAAATGTGTCGGAACAGCCAATGGAACACGATTGTATTTCATTTAATGTTTCTTTTTTCACAATAATGGCTAAAATCTAAAAAAATACATCGAAGACAATCGCAAATCACTCATTTCCAATAAACAGCTGCTAGGCAAGTTTATTCACTTTTATTAAGCAATACTGTTCACGTACATTCCTCCTCCAGTGTAATTTTTTTTCCAAATTCTTTTTCCAAAACAAAAAAATAAAATCAATGTATTGAACACTTAGCTCCCTTATGAATTCATGAACATTCACCTCATTAGAAAGCGAACAACGGAACAAATGACAAAAAAACAAAAAACAAATGGGGACAGCATTAAGATCTGACAGGGCTAAAGGGGGAATTCTACTGTGCCTTTGAAGATACCCCTCTGTAAACCGAAAACGACAATAACAGTAAAATTCGAGCAGGTATAAGACGCCACGCCTCACACGGAAATGGGGAGTGGGTGGGAAGAGAAAGAAATAATAAATCACCGCGAGTTTCTCGCACGGCCATCGCAAATAACAAATTAGTCTTTAACAAAGTGCTTGATTGACCACACGCTTTACACGGGACACCGTTTATTAAAACTGCAACTTTCAAAAAAAAAAAAGGGGGAGGGGGAACGGTCTGATTACTTAAGGCAGACTTTTTTTAATAAGGCGATTTAAAAAAAAAAAAAAAAAAAAATCATTGCTGTAAGATCTCAAAAAGGAGTTAGTCCAAAGTGTCTCAGTGTGGCTTTGCATGAAGACATCATCCTGAGTGCAGCGTGTGAGAGGGGACTCCGAGAATCGTCCGTCGTTAGGTGTCTTAATGTGCATGAAGGCGCATGTTGATTCTGTGTGTGTGTGTGTGTGTATTTTTGTGTCGATCTGAATACGCTTTGGGCTTCTGTGCGCTGCTAGGCCGGGTGCTCCCGGAAGTCCTTGTACCACACAACTCTTTTTGGATCTGAAAAGAAACGGGTGTGGAGAGAGAAAGTTGCCTTTAATATCCAGCTGATGAGACAATCGAAAACATTTTCTAGTTTTAACCGTCCGGCATGTGTTTATGACACCCAGTATAAGTATTTGAATGCAAAAGTTTAAAAAGCAAGCATGCAATTGCAAAGAAACTACTGCACATATTACAGCGTCTGTTCGAAGCATGTCAGCCATTTTATAGTTGTGCATTTTGGATTGTTGTTAATGGATTTGGGTATATTGTAGTGTTGTGCACAACTTCATCTTCAGGTCAACGTACCTTTTTTCTGTTGGTTACAGATTGCATTCCATTCTGCAGAGAGAGAGACCCAAAAAAAAGTTACAAAACTAAATTCGAGCATGTTGCTTTACAAAAGGTCAGAAACAGTGGCTCCAATACCTCTATTGTGGAAGTTCAGAGCCTCCATAAGGTGGCGACAACTGAGCAGAAGCTCCCCGTTGTGCTCGTCCAGCTCAGAGTGTGTAGCCGGGGCGGTGGAGGTAGTGAAGGGTCTGGTGGTTTCTTGAGGGGGCTGGATGGCGAGTGGTGGTTCTACTGGCGCTTGTGTGTCTGTGACTTGAGGTGCAGGGGAGTCTGGGGCGGCGGGATGAGGGTTGGGGTTCTCTGGGGCGGGCCTGGTCTCGCTGATGAAACTGAGCCCCCATTGGTTCTGGAGCAGAACGCCGATGGCGGGGCGGTCGTCCTCCAGAATGCCACTCGCCGTTTTTGCCTTCACCTTGGAGGCGTAGCTGACGGCCGGCTGCAGCTTGGCGGGGCTGTCCTGCACCGGGAAGGCAGGCGGTGGCTTGAGCAGCGACAGACTGTCCTCCACCCACCTCTCCTTCTGGTTCACCTTTTGTGAGCGGTTGAGCCCTTTCTGGCTGACCTCTCGGCGAAGGCTGCGGCCTTTGTGCTGCGGGCCTTTGCGCTCCTTTTCCCTGCGGAAGCTGAATGCGTGCAGGTGGCTCGGCCCGTTCAGGTCCGCGCCGGGGGAGAGATGCCGGGGCTCCCCTCCGGAGATGCAGCCGCCTCCTCCTCCGCCGCCGCAGTTGCCGGAACCGGGTGACAGGCGGCGGTTTCGGATGTGTGGCTCTGGGTTGGTGGTTGCAACGAGGACTGCTGGGTCGCACAAGGTATCGGACTCGCACACAGTGTTACTGGCTTCCCATGTACCTGGAAGAACACGCCCAAGTTTCATGTTTACCTCTTGTAGCTAAAACGAAACTTATCTTAAAAGTACTGAGGTGACGACCCCGCAAAAATTGATCGAATCGAGTTGTGAAAATGATTAAGTGTCCAGATGCTTGAGACAGCAGATTTGCGATTGTAGTTATTTAGGCCACCATTTTAAGAAAATGAACGCCACATCCATAGAAACCTCCCGTGATGTCACCTCTGGAGCCGAGTGAGGTCATAAGAGATTTAACGGTAAAACACTGGCCCGGTTACAACCCAAGTGCCACTTACAAAAAAAAAAAAAAAAAGTTTACGAAATGGATTATCGTATACTCTAACCGAACATTCGAGAACTCCACGTGAAAAAAAAGTAGCAGGGCTAGACTGCGCCGATCTTGCTAATCCCCAAGACAAGACCCTATTAGCGAATCTTTATTAGCAGCGTCACGATACCAAGAAACGCGACGTTCGAAACCCCAGATAGCGTCCGAGCTTGACTTTCGATCGGGCAAGATTTGTCCTCCAAAGAAGTAGAAGCGTGCGCTAAGCTAGCCGCGCTCGTCAAAGTTTCGTAAGCCATTCAATGCAAAGCGGGGAGTAGCCAGTCGGGCTCCTTGAGTTAGCGGGGCTAGCAATGTCGGCGAGTGCAAAAAAATTGTCGCGTCGAATGAGGCAAGCCCTTGAAATAGATCGGAGTCAAACGGACAAACCTGTCTTGATATGCATGTCTTTTCGCCGAAAGTGTCGTTGAGCTTGGACCGTTGGGTTAACTTGTTTATAGCGTCGGGATAACGTCGGCTCGCTTGGATGAGACTCGCCTGCTGCCTGCCACCACCAGGAAACGACGCCACAAGGTGGGTTGGACGGGAAGTGAGCCCCCGAATAAACGCTCCGACGGGAAACTGGCGATGGACAACGTTCCGACAGCACACGTGACAAGCACGTGAGTAACGACGATGCCGTCAAATTCCTGACATTACGCAATCTTAAAAAAAAAAAATAGAAGCTTGAAATACTTTCAGCGTGATCGTGTCATAATTACTGAGGGGCAAATGAAGCTTTTGTGAAGCACTGAGCCGCTTTGACGACTTGTTTCGAAAAAGCGCAAATTTCAGGAAGCTTCACGTAGTGACCTCTTCTGGCGAAAAGCAAGACTGCAGTGGATTTATAACATGCCCATGCACTAGCGATAACCAGATAATACATCCATAAATGGGACGAGTGTATTCATTTAATATGCATAATTAATGAAAATAAACTACGCATTGGCAATATTGTTTCAGATCAACGCATATCTTTAATCGTGACAGTAATAACCACGTCAATTAATGGCACAGACACCCATGCAGGAATTGATTGGAACTGAATGGCGACTTGTGACTTTTTTGGGTGTGGGTCTATACAAAAATTAAAACGCGTGAGGGACTACAGTACACCGATTCTGATGGGGCTCTAGCACACCCGAGCTCGCGAGTGCTGAGCGATATGAAAATAGAAACAGCACGAGTCTGAAACAAAAAAAAATGTACCGTATATTTGTTTTGGATTACCGGTAGTTGTCTCCGACATTTCTCATCCTGGCAAGTAGATGGCAAAAGCGTGGTGCGTGAAGACTCAATTTATGTTCTCTCCATCCTCAGTTCCACAACTGCTATGCATTAATTTCTGAAAATCCCTCACATATCAAGATATGACTACATTAACCATCAGTTAAATAAATTGTAATTAAGTGTCATAAAACCCTTTTTGATTTTATAAAAATATAAAACTAAAATAGAAGACACCACACGGCACAAATGGAAACATGGCTCGTATCCAGTACCGGTACTGTATTTTGTGTTGATTCCCGGAAGCTATCAATGACAGCATTTCTCATTCCGACCAGGAGAGGGCGACATCGTGTCCCGCCCCGCCTAATCCAATCTGCGAGACGTCCCACGATTCAGAGCAGGACACGCCTCGCTGCAATATGATTGGCTGTTGTATGAGGAAGTAACTGGAAGAACTGGGAGTCATTTCTGTTGAAGTGGTCAGTCTAACAGCCTATCTGGACCTGTGACAACACCCGTGGTACTTTGCTTTGTCGACAGATTGAACATGTGAACAAGTTTGTTTGGTGACTTTTAGTGCAGACCTTAGTGACCATGAGGTTTACATAATACTTTGAACATCTGAGACCTGAGGACTGAAGTTTTCCAGGCAGAACATACAAACAAGTGCTGTAAAAAAAATGGGCCACTTTTTCTGTCTAAGATTATTACAGCATATTGCTAGCCAATGACTCGCATGCATTGTCAAACGTGGTCTAAAATGATCAAATGGTGACAGACGTCGACTTCATCGGACAGCGATTATAAAATTAAAGTACATCAAGGGAGTTGAGTGTAAACGTAAAAAAAATAGACCTGAGTGCCTTGAATTCAAAAGCTAAAATGAAAACACAGTACAGAATTGTTGTGGCGCTGTTCACCCATCCAGTTCTTCAAGTTGCTGCTGCTGCGCTCTTTCCAGCTCATCCAGCCTCTCACGCAGCAGGACCATTTCCCTGCGCTCCTCCTCTTCCTTAACACACACGCGGACCTCTTATTGAGTCCCAATATGCAAAACATGTCAACGCGTCTACTTACAGGTACGTTCGTGGCCGCATCCGTGATGACGAATGGGTTTTGTGTGGAGGTGAGGATGGCGGGGCCGAGGCTGAAGGCGCCCTGGTCTCCCAGCAGGAGGCGCCGGAATTCGTTGTGTCGCCGCTGGAGCTCTCGCATCCTTCTGCGGAGCTGAGCGTGCTCCTCGGAGTGAAGCGGGCGTCTGCAAATGGAAGGTTCTTGTGTTAGCGCCATGCAATGTTCTTTGAAGTCAATTTTTTTTTGTCAATTGTGAGGCTGACTTGTTGGCTGCTGCGGCTTCCAATTTCAGTTCCTCCATTTGAGCCTTCAACAGTTGGATCTTATTCTGCAGGCTCTTCTCTTTGTTCTCCGTCTGGGTTCTTCTCTACACAACAACACACAAAGAGACCGTACCAGATCGTGTGGATGAAGACAGCGGACATAGTAAGTCTACACACCCCTTGCTCAAATGTCTTTTTTGTTTTTTGTTTTTTTGTTGTTTGTAAAAATGAAAAAAAAAAAATCAGGGAGAAAGGGGTACCTTCTTTTGGGCAACGGCTGCTCTCTTCATTTTCTCCTTGAGCTGGGAGTATTTCTCATCCAGTTTGGCTTCTCTCTCTTGCAGCTTGTGTTTCTCCTCCAACCACTCGATTTGACTCTCCTCCACCCGCCTGCCAGAAGAACAACACATGGTAGGAAGACACACAATCTTTTATCACGATAGTGGTAACTTGACCTACAAGTGCCCCTTAGTTACATATTTTTTCTTGGTCAAGTGTGTTTCGTTTTTACGAGGGGCCAAGAACGCATTTGGTGGCATTTCAATTGATTTCAATGGGGGAGGGGGCGGGGGGTTGCGTTTGATGTACCGCTCTGCCTCATGTTGGCTCCTCTCAGCTTGGGCTCGGGCCCCCCTCAGCTCCTCCCTCACTCCGTCCACTTTGGCTTTCAGATGCAAGTTTGCATCCATCAGCTCAGCTTCTGACCGCGACAACGTGCCCAGCTCTGCGGACATCTCCTCGTTTTTCTATTCAAAAAAAAGAGAGAGGAAAAAAAATCTGCATGGTGTTTTTTTTTCCAACGAAAATTGTATCGCGATGTCGATTTGAATTGCACAAATTGTTTTGCCACAGTGAGGTGCCAAAGAGTTTGCCCTTACCTGCTTCAAGTTTGAAACCGCTTCTGTTAGCCTCTCCAGCTCCTCAAGCTGGACGCTCTGCTGCTTTAATCGAGTTCTGAAAGACAAAAAATAAAAAATAAAAAGATTGAATGATAATTTTAGGCGTTTTTATCACCCCAGGAGTGGAGCAAGACTGACCTCAGGCTCTGCAGTTCTTTGCGCGCAGACTCTTCTCCTCTTTGGGCCATGCGGAGTTGCTCTTCCCACTCTTCGTTCCGGGCTTGCTCTTTGGTGTCCTGCAGCGCCATCTGCTGTTCCAACTCAGCCAGGCGGTGCTCCATCTCCATCCTAAGCGGCACAAACATCCCAAGGGCGCGCGCGTTGAATTCCGGGGGTCTTCTCTTGCTTCGCTATGATCTCGTCTTACTTTTCCTGGTGTAAGACAGCCGATTTGTAGATTTCCTCATCGCGGGCTGATTGCACCTTCCTTGCCACCTCCCTTTCTTTTTCGACAACAGCTTCCTTGTGTCTCTCCGCGGCGTGCTTGAGCACCTCCATGTCCATCTGTAGACCTGAAAAACACGACAACAACAACACGAGGACATTTGTAAGACCTTTCAATCGCAGACATTAGCCTTTTTTTTTTTTTTTTTTAGCCCTATGAATTAAAAAAACGTTACCCTCCAGTTGCCCTTTCAGACTGTCTCTCTCCCTCTCCAGCTCGCCTTTGGAGCGGGTAGACTCCAGTTTGACGCTGGCCACCTCCATCTTGTGGGAATGCGTCAGGCTTTCAATCTGTCAACGGTGCCACGAGGAACACGCGGCGGGACTTTTGAGTACATTCGCGTACGATATCAAACTGTTGTCAATCGAGTGAGGGGGAAGAAGTGGGAGCAATTTGCACTTATCAGCGGTACTGCTGGTAATTGAGGCCAGTCTACCTGTCCGCTGAGGGAGTCGACTCGCTTCTCGGTTTTATGCAGTTTTCCAGTGAGCTGACTGTTCTGCTCGTGGCTCAGCCGGAGTTCGCTCTCCATCCGCTCCAGCCGCGAGCGCAACGACTGACGCTCCGCCTGGAACAAAAGAGTGCACAACAACTGTCAAGTTACGTACAAAAGTACAAATACACCAACATTTGACTTGGGATGTGTGACCTCCAGGGCTTTCAGAGCGGCCTGGGATTCCACCAGCTGTCTGTTCTGAACCCGCTGGACGTTCTCCGCCTGCTGCTCCGAGTGGTCCTTCTGAGCCTGCAATTCCGCCACCTCTGCCTGGAGACCCTTCAAGCGCAAGGTAAGCTGGGTTTTCTCCCTCAGCAGAACCTCGATTTGTTTCCTGTCGTTCTGGGAGTCTGCGTTCTGGTACAGGGCCATCAGGTTCTCCTTATCTTTGTCCAGATGAGCGATCTGGCCACAGGGGGGGGGGAAGCCGGGAGATTTGAGCACTAGTCTGAAGCCCCGATCTAAACGCAGTCACTCACTTCGGCCTTGTAGCGAAGCCTCTGCTCCTCCATGACGCGTGCGTGTTCCTCTTTTTGGTGTTCAAACTGGGCATTGAGCACAGTGTGAGCGTAGCGGAGCTCGTTGAACTCCGACCTGTACTTCTCGGCCTCCTACACGCAAACCTTTTATTAGGGAACTTCAAATGTGACATGTGTAAAACTTCTCATTTCTTCCATCGCATTATCAAAGAAAAAGTTCAAGTTTATTATTGATATTGAGCAGACCTCTTCGAGTCTGGCAAAGCGCTCTCGAACCGGACCCTCCATCTCCTGTTGCACCTGAGCCCTGAGCAACTCCAGACGCTGAGGAGTCATCACCTGGTATTCAACAATTCCAAAAATCGCTCAGCCCATTCCAGGGAACAAACATTTCAGTTTATTTTAGTGTGAAATGCTGAAGAGAAAAAAAAAACCCTAAAAAACAAGCAAATCAGTATTTTTCAGTTTACCTGAAGTCTGAGCTCGTCCAGCTCCCCGTTTTTTTCCAGAATTTCTCTAGTGCGCTCAGCGAACTGCAGCTGGAGCCTGTCGAGTTGAGCCTGCAGATGTCTTACTTCCTCTTGCACCTGGATGAATTCATCCTGCAAGCTGAGAAAAAAAAAAGAGTCATTTATTTATTTTAAACGGTTGGATACTGATTGAATATATGCATTCTTAAGATTAATAATGTGTACCTGGTGTGTTCAGCCTTAAGAGTCTCATAGTTCCCTCGATGACGTTCACACTTGGTCCTCTCGTCGACGAGCATCTTCTGAAGCTCCATCTCGGCCCCGGCGGACAAACCGGGCATGGATGAAGACGCCCCCGCGCCGGGCCCCAGGCTAGCCCCAAGCGGAAAAGACTGCTGGAGGGCCGAGGAGGTCATGTCACCTCTGGAATGGAAGTCAAGAGAGGACAAAGGAGTCTTAAGGCAGACCGGTTACGTGAATCCACAAGCTGCCTGGTCAGTGACAATACGGCTCTTGCGAAATGAGATCCCTGAGTCAAGTTGGTGCGGCGTTTGAAGAGTGCCGGTCTTTGTTGTCAGTCTCCATGGCAGCTATGCCAAGAGTCAGGCTATTTTTTGATACAATCACAGCCTCTTAGCTGTCAGGCCGAGGCTGTTAATCAACCTCAAGTGATTCGTTAGCTCCCTTGCTTGGCTGCAGCATCTGTTGTCGAGACCAGGCGGGTCTGGGGCTACTGATTACAGTGACAAAAATCATTCAAGTGCAAATATCCAGATACCCATGAAAACTATTGTTACTCGATGTAAATTGTTTTGTAATGTAATGCCTCTTAACACAGGCTAGAGACGTGCCCTGCGATCGGTTCCAGCTTTCTGTTTTGCAAATATAGACAAACAAAAAAAAAATAAATGAATGGATAGTCACAGGAATAATAGACTGTGCAAGTAGTGTTGCTGCAGTGACACTTTGTTGTTGTTGATGTTACACGAGGAAGTAGGAAAAAAAACCACTTTCCGTTTAGTATTCAAAAATCGCGCGTTGTCTGCCGTCACTCAAGAACGATGTCCGAGCAGATTGATGACATTTTATCTGCACTTTATCCGAAACTGCCCTTTTAACGATTTAAAGACGGCAATGCAAAACAAACTAGTTGGGTTACTCGCAGCAAAGCTACACCCGAGCTCAGGCGATATAAATAAACATGTATAAGGTTTATAAAAATCGATAACTTGCACATATCGATAAGGCGACCATTTTAGCGTCCAAGCAAAACCAAACTATTACTTACGGTTATTGTTCTGTGTTGAAAGGGCCACATGAACGCTTAAATTCGTTTTTTTTTCTTTTCAGATGTCTGAGTCGGCTCGCTAGCTTTTTAGCAAACTAGCACATTTGAAAACTACAAACTAGAGGCTCACGGGAAATGTAGTCAATGTGACAGTTCTGGTCGGCGTCGAAACAAAGTACAATTGCGCCCTCTTGTGGATTTGGGAAATATTTTTTCCTCAAAAGTTTTAAAATTTTTGTCCAATTCACAAACATCTCCTTGCTAAGGATGATTTACTAACTTGGATGGATGGAAACGTTGACAATCCTCATAGCGGGCCGTTGTCCTGCCCCTTTTGCTCGACACATCCCTTTTGCTCGCTACATCCCAGTTCTTCCATTTGCCGCTGCTGGACTTTTTCCAGGTCATCTACCCTCTGACGCAGTTGGGCTATTTCTCTCTGCTCCTGCTCTTCTTCCTTAACACAAGTCATAATAACCTGGAAGTTAATATGTGAGGGTAAAAAAAAAAAAAAAAAAAGCAAAACTGCAAGGATATTGTTGATCGTGGCGCGTGAGGCATACTTGCACATTGGAAAGCATCATTTCAGAGCCGAGGCAGTGGGCGGGGCAGCACGCGGAGGTGATTTGGGCGGTGCTGAAGCGGAAAGTCCCGTTGTGGCACATTAGGAGGCGTCGGAATTCGTTGTGCCGCTGCTGATAGTCCATCAACCTTCTGGGGTTGGCGCGATCACAATTGTGTTGAAATCTGATTACTGTGCGGAATGATAAAAAATGTCTTTTTCTAAAACTAAAGACCTCACAGACTCACTTGTTGGCCATTGTGCCATCCTGTTTGAGCTCATCTATTTGTTCCCTCATCAGCTGGATGGTACTCTGTAAGCTCTGCTCTTTTTTCTCCTCCAGGTTTCTCCGCTATACAACCCGACACAACAAAACTGATCCATTTGGGTCGACGCCGGGAGCTAAACATTCGTTTCTACGCGGGTAACGACAGAAAAGGAGCACCTTCTTCTCCGCCAACGCTGTCCTGTGCAATTTGTTTTTGAGCTGAGAGTATTTATCTTCCAGCTTGGCCTCTCGCTCCTTACTGTCCTCGACTTGCCTGAAGGCGGAACAAGAGGAACAAACGGGGGTAAGAGTGATTTTTTTTTTTTAAACTTGAATGAAATGGCGTGCGCGTCGCACTTCTCTGCCCCGCGACGGACGTTCTCCTCCCTCAAGATGTCCAGTTGTTCCCTCAGACGATCGTTTGCCTCCATCAGCTCGGCTTCGGACCGCGACAGCGTCCCCAGGTGGACGCAGAGTTCCTGATTTTTCTTTTCAAAGCGAAATCAAAAAAAACATTTTTTTTTTTAAACCCAAATGTATTTTCCCCGACGACTATTGAGGGTCTGCCAACCCACCTCCTTGATGTCAATCACCTCCGCTTTCTGTCTCTCCAGCTCCTCCAGCTTAGCACTTTGCTGCTTTAATTTGCTTCTGACAGATAAAATTGTTTGTTGACACTCAAGTCAAGTTCAGCTTTGAAAAACGAGATGAGGAAGAAAGAGTAAAGAACCCACTTCAGGCCTTGAAGCTCTTTTCGGACAGATTCTTCTCTCGTCTGGGCAATCCGAAGTTGGTCCTGCCATTCGTCTTTCTGGGCTTGCTGGTTCATCTCCTGCATTGCCTTCTGTTTTTCAAACTCCATCAGACGTTGCTCCAATTCCAGCCTCGTACAAAAAAAAAAAAAAAAAAAAAAAAAAAAAAGATGAATTTTCTAGACGTAATGCGCAAAACGTCTGTCGCGCTTTCTCACTTCTCCTCGAGCAACGCCGTTGTCTTGTACATTTCCTCGTCGCAGACAGACTTGACCTTCCTGACCATCTCCATCTCTTTCTCCACCAGAACCTTGTTGTGCCTCTCCAGCGTCTCCTTCAGTCCCGTCACCTCCGATTGCAGACCTGATGAGACACAATTAAATCGTGCGCCCCCTCCGTAACCTGATAACACGATAAGCTGTCCACTGTTGGAACCGCCGTCCCTCAAAGGGCTAAAACAACTTCCTGTGTGTCGGTTCCAGGACTAAGAAAGATGAAGACAGCAAAACGTACTTTCCTTCTGCCCCTTCAGTGACTCGCAGTCCCTCTCCACCTCGCCTTTGGCGCGGGTGAATTCCAGTTTGACGTTGTCCACCTCGGTCTTGTGCGACAGTTTCAGGCTTTCGATCTGACAAGCGATCAAAAAGAAAAAACAGAAAGGCTGACAAAATGCTTGCGGCGTGTCGTTCCGTTTTTGCGTTGCTGACGGGATGCCGCTTCATTTTACTGTATTGGCCCGAATGTAAGACGGTGTATTTTGCATTGAAATAAGACAAAAGTGGTGGTCGTCTTATATTCAGGGTCTAGATATTATACCCATTCACGACGCTAGATATCATTGAAGCGAATGCTGAACTTGACTCCGCAGGCCAAAGTGAACCTCTGTCACGAAGAATAAAAATAAAAATAGCGGTAGCATGAAGAAGAAAAATAAAAAAAATAGCGATAAGAAAGAAAAGAGAAGAAAATAATAGAAGAGATCACAGAAAATGGAGAAACGTAGCGACAATCTGGAGAAAAGTGGGTCGAAGATCGGCCAGGTTAACCGGCAGCTGATTATGATGTAATTTCCATTTCAAAAACCAGAAGCCATTCATTTACAAATGTGATTGCACTTTAGTTTCCATATTTAAATGGTCAGATATTAAGATTTGAATGAGGCAAAATAACATGCTTTTTCTCTCAAATATATTGTTATAATCATTTGTGTCAGATGTACTGTAATTATTTTCTGTATAAAAATTAATTTGGTGCTCAAAAAGTCTTTTTTCAAACTTGAGTCTTGAAAAAGAGGGGGCCGTCTTATAATCAGGGCCGTCTTATATTCGGGCCAATACGGTAGTTGCTGTTTTGAGGGACTTGATCTTACCTGGCAGGTGAGGGAGTTCATTTCTCTTTTCGTTTTGTGCAGCTGCCCGGTGAGCTGGTTATTCTGCTCCTGGCTGAGATGAAGCTCGCTCTCCATGCGCTCCAGTCGTAGCGACATGCACTGGCGCTCCGACTGCAAGCACATTCCATTAACGCCGCCCGTCATCTCCTTCCAACCTCTCCCTCCTCACCTCAAGCGACTTGACCACAGCCTGGGATTCCGTCAGATGTCTGTTTTGCGAGAGCTGAATGTTCTCCACCTGCTGGTCCGAGTTGTCCTTCTTTGCCTGCAGCTCGTCCACCTCCGCCTGCAGACCCTTCAGCCACATGGTGAGCTGCGTTTTCTCCTTGAGCAGAACCTCCACTTGCTTCCTTTCGAATCGCGGATCAACGTTCTTGTACTGGGCCACCAGGTTTTCCTTCTCTTTCTTCAGATGAGCAATCTAACAAACCAGCAACTTTTTTTTTTTAACATAATTTACAAAATGAAATGATCCAATCGGTCACACGAAGCAACCTCACCTCCATCTCATACCGCATCTTCTGCCCTTCCAGTACGCCGACATGTTCCTCCTTCTGGTGTTCAAATTGGGAATTGAGCACAGTGAAGGCGTAGCGCAGCTTGTTGAACTCGGACCGGTACTTCTCTGCCTCCTACTCTCCGCACGCAGGTCAGTGAGAAGTCGAGAAGATATGCAGCTCATAGGTTTCAGTGATAAGCTCTCCCTGAAACTACTATGTGGTTAATTAAGTACACGTTCAGTTTAGGATGGTATTGCCAAATTCTAACTCTGAACTGATCCACAGTGCAAAGATCCTAAAATCAATATCACTGATTTATTTAGCAGCCGCGTAGAGAGTGCGAGCAGTGACCTCTTCCAGTTTGTTGAAACGCTCTCTGACTGGAGCCTCCAATTCCTGCTGCACTTGAGCCCTGAGTAACTCCAGACGCTTTGGAGTCATCACCTGCAATTTGGGACATGTTTGATGCCTTCCAGAAATTTTATTGAACACACAATAACACATTTTTTTTCTCCCCGATCCGTAATAGATTAATCAAAGAAATCCGGTTTGAGACATTTTATTGCTAATCCTCTATTTGGTACCTTTGAGGAAGTTCAAGCACTTGAGCAGAAAATCTCTGTGAATGATTTTAAGTTTTATTGACCTGCAGTCGAAGCTCCTCCGTCTCCTTTTTTTTGTCCAGCAGTTCTCTTGACCGCTCAGCCAACTGTAACTGAAGTTTATCCTGCTGGCTACGGAGACGCTTTGATTCCCCCTGTATATGCAATAGCTCATCCTGCAAACTAAAAAACAAAACAACAACAACGACAACAACAAAATTCAAGTCATAGTAGTGTAGTCGTGTAAACCAGTAGTTCTGAAACTTGAGTCTGGTTTAAACATTCATGTCAGATAGAACAAGTACCTGGAATGTTCGATCTTGAGTACATTGTAATTTGATTTATAGGTTTCACACTTCCTTTGAAGATCAGTAAGCATGTGCTGAAACTCCATCCTCGCACCGTCCAGCCCGGGTATCCCTGTCCCTGGTACCGTCGGAAGATTAGTAGGGTCCATCTTGTTCCACCTGAAAGAAAGACGAATAAAGGTTTTCTGATTCTTATTATTCTTATTAACATGTGAGGCAAGCTGATGGAATATCTTGTGTTCAAAAATCAAAGCCCAATTTATTAACGTGACAAAGGCTCAGAGTCTGACGTCATAAACAGTGCGGCATTTTGTGCCTCCTGCCAAATGGGAATTCTCAGAATTGTTCTAAATATGTAGCAAGTCACCAGCGCTAGACATTAAAACGTAACTAATTCGATACTAGTCACAAAATCGTTCTTGACTGGTGGCTTGAGGTCTGACATTCCACAATTCTGTTTTAAGTGATGCTTCTTTCGGTTGGAGTCGGAAGATTTCAGAGCTTTTGAGGAACGCCCTTGAACGCAACACTCACTTGCTGGCGCTAAGCTAGCGTTTAATTTTCGTCCACAGTTACCGTGAAAGTGATGATTTCTGTTAAAACACTCTTGGCAAGTCTCAAATTAATTAAAAAAAAAAGCAATTCAAACAGTTCCGATCAATTCAGTCACAAGCCGTGCCGTAATTTTGTATCGACTCACTAATTATACGACATACGGATAGATATGAGTGAAACCTTATTCTCCATATTAAATTTGATCAACTTGATCATACTCATAATTTTTCCATTAAACTACAAATACCCGACCATCTTGGTGAACACCTATTCACTAAGTAATCTCAATGAATACCCCAAAAATAAAATAAAATTCCTCACCCAACCCACACACATTTATTCTACAGTTGTGCTTCACTTCTATTTCTGACCAATCAGTATTCGTATCTTTGTTCCCTCATTAAAAAAAAAAAAAAAGTGCAATGATTCTCAATGAAACATAAAACACCAAAATAGATTTAATGAAAAGAGACAATGAGTGCTGAAACATAACGCGCACAACAGCAACTTCCGCTTCCGAACATCACAGGGAATCATAGTACACGTAAACATATTCACATTATGTGAATTGAAAAACATATAAATTGATCTATACATACAAAAAAAAAAAAAAAATCTGCAGTTCATTAAAAACAACTCTTGGTACACAAAAAAAATAAAAGGAGCATACAAATAATCCACATGATTAATAATAATTTTTTAAAAGTTTGTCTATTTTACAAAACAATGTTGAAGTGAAGCTATGAATCACAATGGTTACTTTTTCAAAAATATATCAACAGGATATTTAAATACATAAATTATCAAAACTAGAATCTTAAATATCATCCACAAAATGCACTGTTGTGTATCGCTTGAGTGCCGTCTTGTAAGTCGTTCGGTTTCAGCTGGAGCTGTAAAAGAGAGGATGTTTCAAAAGCCAAAAATGGAACATCAGAAAGTGTGTGTGTGCTTTGTTTGTTCACCTGTCGGCAGCATCAAAGTCACCTACAGCGCCGCCGTCTGCCTTGGATCCAGTTCGCATTCTAAAAGCATCTAAAAAGAAGACAAATCGAAGTTGGGACTCAAATCGAGACGCTCGATGGCTGTTTTCATTCCCCCGACCTTGAATCCAGCGGATCTGCGTCGCCGGGCCGTAGCCCTGCTCGTTCTTGGCTGCGATGCGGAAGACCAGCGCCGGCCGGTTGGAGACGGAGCAGTCGAGGTGCGCGTTGACCAGGTGGCTGGAGCTGACCGTGCAGAACGTCTTGACGCCGCGGTAGATTCGGATGAACGCCAGTTGCCCCGGACCCTCCGAACTGGACGAGCGGCTTTTCTTCACCGCCATGTACATGGAATATTCCAGAATCCGGCCTGATGGAGACGGAGGAGCTTCCCATGTAATGTGGACTAATTCATTGGCCTGTGTTCAAAGATTACGCAAGAGACGAAGATTTGGATAAACGCACGGAAATAATTCCTCACCTCATGTCATTTCCTTTTATGTGTCACTTTTGCTGCTGTTGTTTAGTGTCGCGAACGCGCTACCTTGGTGATCTTGACCGCGGACGGCGCTCCGGGGAAGCCCGGTTGGCACGTCTTGAACTCGCTGACCGGGCTAAAGTCTCCTTCGCCGAAGCAGTTGACGCCCGCCACTCTGAAACGGTAACTCCGACCGGGATCCAGCTCCTTCTTCTCTCTATCCTCGTAGTCGTGAGGCATCGGCAGCTTCCTCTGACACAGGAGATGATAGACAATCATGAAGCCCTTTTTTTTTTTTTTGGGGGGGGTGAGTTGATCCCACCCAAAAAAAAAAAAAAAGTGGATCATCACTGATCTTATATTGACCTCTTTAGTCATGGAAGGCCGGCTGCCGACGGTTGTCGTCGCCTGGTTGTTGTCGGCTGGCAGATAGTAGTGCTGGACTTCAGAAAAAAGGGTTCTGAACACACCAACGTCAAACCACATGGCTCCCTCTCCATTCTGCAAGAGATGGCGAGTTGTAGTTTCGACTCACACACACACACACACAAACAAAATAAAAGTCAGGAATATAGCTTACCTGATCTCTTGTCTTCTCAGCTATATTTGAGGGCAAAGAGACAAGCTTTCGATTTATTCCGCTTTAGAAGCCTGAACATCCAATTTTTTTTTACCCTGCTGATGGTGAGCAGATCCTGAAGAATCCCGTCCCCCTTCTTGGGAGCCGCTGGACGACTCTGTCGGATTGTCGTGCTGCTTTGAGCCGTCCTGCGACCACGATAGGTAACGTGCGCGGAAATAGAAAGTTAGAGCTGAAGTCGTTTTTCTTGGTGCTGATGTTGAGTACCGCATACCTGGGCTGATGTGTTCTCTTGTTCTTCAGTGTTGCGTTCACTTGCGCCGTGCGAGGACTGGGAATCTGGGGTACATTCCAAGCGGGAAAAATATTTAGCGCTAATCACGAAAAGTTCAGCAAACGGGACTTTGGGGTAAGATTTCAGCATGAACCCGAAATGCAGTCGAACTTTTACAGGTCAACTTCAAAGCGGAATATTTCTAAAAAAATTTGAATGAGTGGCGTATTTATGGAAGGAAAGTCAAATTTTTTTTTTTTCTTTTCGTGGACCTTTAGGTTTGGCGTCCGCTTCCGTTGAAGTCGAATCGACCTGTTTGGTTTGAGGATGGCTCCCCGCAGGCTGAATCTGAAGGATGTAGCAGTCCGCTCCCGACAGGGGGCGCCACGCCACGTGAAGCATGCTGACGGTGGATTTGATGAGCATCACCGCATCGGCTGGAGCCGGTCGATCTAAAATCAGAACGAGGTGGGGAGAAAAAAAAAAAAAAAAAGTCACAAATTCCATCTCATCCAACGTATGACTCGATATGACCCGCTTCTCACCTGTCTCCAGGTACCAAAGGTCCTTGTAGCACACTTGATAGAAATTCTTCTGGTAACCATCTCGGCCGCTCCAGATGTAGAGCCTGGAACCGACGGCGGCGGCACAGTGGCCAGCCCTGGCTTTGGGCCCGCCGGCGTTGTGATCGTCGCTCTGTGTCATGTGACTCTGCAGCTGGGAGTTGATGTCGTCGTACTCCGGACTCAGGTTCTGCCAGCTCATCGTGTCTGGGAGAGAGACGCTTTCATGTCATGATCTGCACCGGGGGACCAGTTTTTTTTTTTGGGGTTAAACGCGCACAGAAGTACTGACCAAAGTTAAGCACGCTTAAGGAGTTGGTGCAAATCCATTTCATCCCCGCGGCATTGCGCTTCTCCGACTCGGGAACAGGAATCCAGCCGCCAAAAACGAACATCCTGCGAGGGTTTGGTAAGGCGACACATCAATCATGCCTTTCAATTAAAAATGCCGAACAAAGCGCTCGGCTGCGGAGGACCGAAAGGAGAATGAGAGAATAAACAAAAGCGTTCTTCGTGATCAAGCTCTTACTTGTTTCCAATCACACTGGCAGAGTGAAGACTCCTGGGGAGTGGCACCGAGCCCCTCGTTTCAAGCATTGACCACGCCATCGTGTCTGAAGAAAAGACGTATCGTGCTTTGGGTCAAGTGTGACACCTGCGTACGGTAAGTCGTATATTTGCCCTACTGAGGTCAAGCTGCCAGAGATCATCTAATCTGCGGCCTTGCATCCCCCCGAAGATGAAGAGCTTTGGAGAGCCGAGGCCGGCGTAAGCGACGGACGTGTGCGACTCCCGTGCTGAAGGACCACCGCCTTTTGTCTCCGGGATGCTCCAGCCTCTTGCCCCCGATACAGACTGCAGCTCCAACTCGTAGAGGTCGTCCAAGTACCTGCCAAAGAACGTCTCACCTTGGATGTCTTTATCAAAGCACGGGGGTTTATTTATCAAGAGGATTTTCTTTTTCATCACATTTTCAGCCGGTTAATGTCATTCAAGTTGAATTTATTTTGAATTTCTCTTCAATGCTGCTGCTGTTGTTTTTTTCAGAACGCGTTTTGGATGACGCCTCTTTCTTTCTCGATAAGTGAAGATGGGGTAAAAAAAACAACAACAAAAAAACCCCATCCTTGGATCTGTCCTTCAACATACCGTGGGATGTTGCCATTGGGGTCCTCGCTGACATTGGCCAGCCCCCCAAACACATAACACCTGCTACCCACAAGGGTGAAACTGTGCCCGATACGAGGGCACGGAGGCAGGCCATTCCTGGGCGCTCTGGGCTTCAGCTTCTTCCAAAGCCAGCGACTAGCCTAGACCATCAAATATACATTGGCAAAGGTATTACTAAATGCTACTGCGTCTACTCGAGAGGAAAGCTTTACCTGAAGTTCATAGAGATTATTGGAGTATTTGCCATACTCCACCATGCCGCCAAAGACGAGTACGCGGGTGTCCTCACAGACCAAGCCGTGAGCAGCACAGCCAGGGGGGATGTCTCCTCGCACTGCAGGCAGAAACCACTGCTTGGAGACTAAAAAGAAATTACAGTCTTGAATTACACCGGGTGTAACATTTAAATAGCATTTATGCACTCATGAATGATGTTTGAGTTGCCAAATTTCGCATGCCATATGTTAACTCGGTAAAAAGCAATAAAAAAAATAGATTGCTGAAACATTCACTTAAAAATACAGATACAGGAATAAATAAGCATTTCTACTTCGTTACTTCCCATCAACATCCGGATCTGAACGTAATACTGCAGCTAACTTACCAGTTCCGTTTAAAGATTTAAGAAAATAAATTAAGATTCCTGAATTCAGTTTTAAATGAACAAAGCTGGCGAGCGGGCCATAAACTAGGGAATCGAAAGACAACAATTTGGCGTTTGAGACATTTTTTCGCAAAGGCTCAAGCTAAAAACATTGGCTGCTACGCTAATTTTAGCATACCAGTGTTGTAAACATGGAGGTCCTCTGCTATCCCTTCGTTTCCACCTCCAAACACTACGATCAGCTCCCGAATTGCTACCGCCCGGTGTCCGTGCCTGGAGCGAGGAATTACACCTGTGAACGAATGGACTTTTCGCCATTGTGGTTCTTCGCTTGTCATTTTCCTCTTAGGAGAGGCTGAACTTTGGCGCTGTTGATGTTTCAAAGCAAAGGAGAAAACCGGAAGTGTGTCTTAGGATCTTCAAATTAAAACAACGGACTGAAAACATCAAAACTGCATTTTAATAATAATAATAATTATTATTATCATGTTTTCTTGGGCATGTTACAGCATTAACATCTTGGACTTTTGTATTTGATTAACATTCTTTGTTGAGAATTGATTTTTCACGTTTCAGCGGGTTGGATAATGTATGTATGGATTATGCCAAATGGAGAAATAGTTAGCCTTTCTCGGGATTATTACTGTTTTTCAAAGTAAAAAAAAAAAGACACAATTTCTAAAAAAATTCCAAAAACAACAAAATAAAAAATGTTGGTAAATATTTTGACGTCGACAACCAAGCAGGCTATTTCGCTTTCGCACGTTCGCCACCTTTATTTTCTTAACAAACATAAAATTTATCAAGGATAAGCACGTAACGTTGAGGTGGGAGTGCCTATAAATTCCACGTTTTAAAAAATGCAAAGCAAATAAATATGAGCTTTAAAATGCTGTTTTTTTTTTTTCGTAGTCATGCTACCGAATCAAAGTCGCACTTTCGCGTGAAATTGAATTGAACGTTCTCGCTTTCCATACGCATCCGGTTTACCAAACGTTTCCGGCGTCTTTCTGCTGTGTCTTGAGTGAGTATTTTAAACAGGAGATGCTAAACGTATGTACACAATCTAGAAGTATCGTTATGACACATAGGTGCTGTAGTTTGTTTCTTGTTACTCCCTACGTCCCTGGAATCAGGCTAGGTATGTTAAAATGTCAACAAACATAGCGTGTCAGCTGGCCCGTCCACAAACAGGTGTCAGTCAAGAGTCAATCAAGGAACGCGGTTGACTTGAATGTTGTTTGGTGCGTTCTCCACACAAGCTGATGTCCGCAATGAAAGAGTAATTCCTTCACATGCTGCTTTCGTGAATCGTACATTTTTGAGATTTTTTGTTGTTGTTAAAGTTGGGTCCCTCCATGCCACATCTGACGAGTTGAAAATGTAAATGAAAGTTAGTGCACTTGTTGATAGCGATGGCACAACACTAAATCACAAATTTGAGCTCAATTGGCCCTTCTCTCTCAGGGATTACTTACTGGGTCAACTTTCACAAAACATCTATTGTTCCAAATCTGCAATCGTTTTGAAAATCGGTGCCTATTTTTAACAACTTGACCTTCTGACCTATAATTTGACCTTGTCGATGACATGACCGTGACAAAATATTTCATGAAATGTAATCTCGCGCATTGTCCATAGTATCCATACACTTGAATATTCAATGAATAGTCATTAAAAGTTGGACTGGATGGATAATTATTGCTGCTAAACAAACAAAAAAACCTCTCTTGATGTTTTCGAGAAAATGTAAGAGTTTACATATCCGATTTACTGACCTTCTTTACGTGCAGAAGAATGTTACTCATGGCTTATTTTTAAATTTTTTTTCCCTCCTGCCTGGTAGGATCGGGGAGGCTTAAAGCCCAAAGTTGCTGACAACCATGTGGGACATGCGGAAGGAATGGCAGCCTGCATTTGGACACACGTGTGGGTATGAAGTGTTTTGCGCTTGAGCAGCTGATGTGTGATGTCACATTTTGCCACAAGGTGGACGTGAGTGCGCCCACTTCTCTCTCACTAAACCGAAAGCTCGACTTGATGTACTGCGTGACATTGAACCACACACACTTCTGGAAAAGAGATCGATGTGGGCCAAGTTAGTAAAAAAATGTTTAGATACTAACTTGGGGGATGATGATATCGTGCAGTACATATCATTTCGTTTTTGTCCCAGTGAGAGGTGTTTGGATGTGCTCACGTCCTCCACAGTGTCACAAATTCGAAGTGTGTCTGAGTGTCGTTCAAGGAGCATTATTCCAGGTTGGCCATACCCCCTTTCCTCAAGATTTCCCACCCAAACATTTTTTGGAAAAAAACAAAAAAAAAACTGAAATATTTTTTCCCCCCAAAAAAGTAAATGAATTTAAAAATTTAGTTTTCTTTTTTTTTTTTTTTTACATCATACTGATGATGTTTGAGAATGTAGAAGTGTTCTTTGGAATCAAACTGCATTTCTTTTGCAGAGTAAACAATCAGCGCAAACAACATCGTGACAAGGTGGATGAGAAGCGGGTTGTTGCCAGGAGGTCAAGTGGTTGGCTTGCGAGGACAACATGGGCAAGTGTGTGGACCGAAGGAAAAAAAAAAAGACAGACGTTAGTCAAAAGGTAAGTCAAGTTATGGTGCATGTATTATTATTTTTTTTGTGACCATCTACATAGTAAGGCGTTTTTATAATAAGGCATTTTTAGCACCCCCAAAACGACCATGTATAGTCAGGCGTTTTTAGCCAAAAAAAAACGACCATGTATAGTAAGGCGTTTTTAGCCCCACAAAAATGACCATGTATAGTAAGGCGTTTTTAGCCAAAAAAAACGACCATGTATAGTAAGGCGTTTTTAGCCCCAAAAAACGACCATGTATAGTAAGGCGTTTTTAGCCAAAAAAAACGACCATGTATAGTAAGGCGTTTTTAGCCCCAATAAACGACCATGTTTAGTCAGGCGTTTTTAGCCCAAAAAAACGACCATGTATAGTCAGGCGTTTTTAGCCCCAAAAAACGACCATGTATAGTAAGGCGTTTTTAGCCAAAAAAAACAACCATGTATAGTAAGGCGTTTTTAGCCCCAATGAACGACCATGTTTAGTCAGGCGTTTTTAGCCCAAAAAAACGACCATGTATAGTCAGGCGTTTTTAGCCCCAAAAAACGACCATGTATAGTAAGGTGTTTTTAGCCAAAAAAACGACCATGTATAGTCAGGCGTTTTTAGCCCCAAAAAACGACCATGTATAGTAAGAAAAAATGACCATGTATAGTAAGGCGTTTTTAGCCCCAAAAAAACGACCATGTATAGTAAGGCGTTTTTAGCCCCAAAAAACGACCATGTATAGTAAGTCGTTTTTAGCCAAAAAAAAACGACCATGTATAGTAAGGCGTTTTTAGCCCCAAAAAACGACCATGTA